GTTGATCTGCTATAAATTTTGTATTGGGAATTTGATCAGAATGGTATTCACTGTACTTCTAACGTTGAATATTGGGGCATGCCATATCCATTCTGAAGCTCCTAAAATTTTGTACTCCTTTCCTCTCAAAAGAATTTAGGGTTTAAGGTTATTATAACTTGAGCTGGCCACTTAGTTGGCAGAACTCATTCTTTCTTTTCTTAATGGGACAAAACCCTTTGGTACCTGATTGACATGGGTTTCAAAATTAGAGAGATTATTATGCTACTAAAGAATTTAAAGGTTGCTTTTCCTTTGTGTTTCAGGGCATGTTTGGGATGGTTTGCTTTTGAACCTGAATGGTTTGAGGTGAACTATATGAATTTTGCTCAGAGTGAGGCTCAATCTGTATCTGTATTTGTTCACTATCTGTCCAATGACCGAGGGGATGTTCCTCTATCTGATTCCAAGGGACCGGGAACTGAGAACGGATGTTCGTTGGTTGATATGGTAAGAATTATAGCTAATCCAAAATAAATGGTCTTGTGGCCTGATTCTCCCAATTTAAAAAAATTTATATTCTTCCATTCTCAATAATCACCATTCAGGTTCCATTTTTATCTTTCAATTACGAGAATTTGCTTTTGTTGACAAAATCAATTAACTGCAGAATGATGAACATCACCCTGTGTGGGGTCACATGGAGAGTTATTCCATTGGGCGGGAAAAGCGGAAACAGTTGCTTTTGATGTTATCTCAGCATGAGGCTGATAGGCTTGAAGTATGGGCGCAGCCTACTAACACAAAGTAATTATGCACAGTCGAAATTAGCCCAATATAGTTGTCTTATACTATTTTCCCTGATGATAGGTAATTCTGCTGCGAGAAACTTAAACAAATTCTACATATTTGCAGGGAAAGTGCATCTCGTCCTAAAATCAGCTCAGATAAATGGGTTGAATATGCTAGGACTGCTTTCTCTGTGGATCCCCGCATTGCCCTATGCCTAGCATCAAGGTTCCCCGCAAATGCTACTTTGAAGGCTGAAGTTACTCAACTGGTTCAGGTGTGTTTGAATGAAGGTGTTTTTATCAATATTCAGTCTCATTTCAGATACTGTTATTCCCATATTTTCTGAAAGGAATGCACATGGACTGTATTCCTGCTGCAGTGAAGTTAGCTGGAATGACTGTTTTAATTGTGGTTGTGTAGTGTCATGTATCGTTGTTATCCTACTCAGACACTCACTTTGTGTTTTTGCTTATACTGACGTCTTATTTGCAGTCACATATTTTGGATGTGCGTACAATACCAGAGGCATTACCATACTTTGTTACCCCAAAGGCCGTTGATGAAGACTCGGTGCTTTTGCAACAATTACCGCACTGGGCTGCTTGTTCAATAACACAAGCTCTTGAATTCCTGACTCCTTCGTACAAGGGCCATCCCCGTGTAATGGCATATGTTCTGAGAGTTATGGAGTCTTATCCTCCTGAGCGTGTGACCTTTTTCATGCCACAATTAGTTCAGTCTCTGCGCTATGATGATGGGGTGGGTCATCTGATGAGCAAGTTGATCTCTTGGTTTTATGTTTTTGTTTCTAAAAGACTTTAGCAGCCTGTTAAGGCAAAGGCTTGAAGCTTGACTAGTTGGTGGACCTGGGGTTCTGTTATTTGTAGTATCTGAGCAATGGACTTGTGTTAAGGGCTCAATACTTAAGTATGCTAAATAGTAACCTTGAAAGTGGAGCATAGTCAATAAAATAGTTGAGTGTTCTGGCAACTTCCGTAGGTTTGCTGATTGTATTAAGCTACCAAACTGCAGTTGTAGGTGTATGTTTGCGTGACAAACTTTTCTTATGATTAAATCAACATTTCATGTTGCAGAAGCTCGTTGAAGGATATTTGCTGAGAGCAGCTCAACGAAGTGATATATTTGCGCATATTCTGATTTGGCAATTACAGGTTAATGTGGCATGATATACCTTTTGAAAGTTTTAGTATAGTTGCTCCCTTTTTTCTCTCTCTCGGAAATATTTCTTTTGATAGTAATTCTTTACATTATAATCTCTTGTTCTAAGGAGTGAATTGTTTTTTTCGTGGCAGGGTGAGATGTGTGAACCAGAAGGAGCAGTAAAAGATCCTGTTGCTGTTATGAAGGTTCTTATCTTTTCAATTTTAGCTACCTGGTTTTAATGTATCTATTATGACATGTCAGAATATACCCGAGTACTGGCTAATCAGGATCACTCTGTGTTCTTTAATCTCCTCTGGGATGTTGCATGGAGGATAATCATATATGTGCATGCTGATATTTCAGAATAAGTCCTTCCAAGAAATTTTGCCGGTTGTTCGCGAGCATATCATTGACGGTTTCAATGAGACGGCCCGTGACATCTTTAAAAGGGAATTTGATTTCTTTGATGAAGTCACATCAATATCTGGCGTCCTCCTTCCACTTCCCAAGGATGAGCGTCGGGCTGGTATCCGAAAGTATGCCTCGTTTTTTACCGAGTGCCAGCTTATTCTGTCTCTTCCTTTTTGGTGTTTTTATTGGCTGTTATAAATCCACATTGGTTGGTCAGGGAGTTGGAGAAAATTCAGATGCAAGGAGATGATCTCTATTTACCGACTGCACCTAGCAAGTTTGTCAGAGGTATCCGGGTTGATAGTGGCATACCATTGCAATCTGCTGCAAAAGTTCCAATTATGGTGACGTTTGATGTTGTTGACCGTGATGGTGACCCCAACGATATTAAACCTCAAGCTTGCATTTTCAAGGTACGCTTTAGAATCACCATTATCAGCTAAAAGAGGTACCATCGATCGTAATTGTACCTCATGTGTTGCCCTATTGGTGCTATTGAGTGAAACATCCAATTCACTCTAGTTTCAAATGCGAATATTTATTTCTACATTAAGCCTTAGATTGGTCCATAAAGTACATTCTCAGATGACTGTCTGGTGCATATTTTGTGTCCCATCCTGCATTTCTGTCTCATGACATGCCTACAGTCCTCTTATGTCTGCTGAACTCTTTTGTGAATATGTGGGACATTAAAACGGCAATAATAGAATGGCTCGTGTACAATATCTTCTGGATTTGGAAGTTTGATTGATATTCTCTATATAGGTTGGAGATGATTGTAGACAAGATGTTCTTGCCCTTCAAGTGATAGCGCTTCTTAGAGACATATATGGAGCAATTGGACTTAATCTATATTTGTTTCCATATGGTGTCTTGCCAACTGGCCCAGAGCGAGGTATAATCGAGGTGAGTACTTGAATTTGCAAGCAGTTTCCTTTCAAATAGCTCTTTACTACCTCAGATGCCAGACAAGATGGTATCAAGTGCCTCCATGCATTATATCTTGTATGTCCTCGTAGTAAAGTGCAACTTTCTGAGATAGCTGTTTTCCCTTGGTACTAAATTTTTTCTTTGGGTCATTCAGGTTGTGCCTAACTCACGGAGTCGAAGTCAGATGGGTGAAACTACTGATGGTGGTTTGTATGAAATATTTCAGCAAGACTTTGGCCCAGTTGGGTCTCCTAGTTTTGAAACCGCACGTGAAAACTTCATTGTCAGCAGCGCTGGTTATGCAGTTGCCAGCCTTCTACTTCAACCAAAGGATAGACACAATGGAAACTTGCTTTTCGATAGGTATGTAATCCCTTAATTTTGTTTTCTCTCCCCTAAATCCGATTTTGAAGACAAATTAACCAGCCGAAATCTAAGTTCTGAATCCAATTAGTGTCGTAGGCGCAACTTTATCTTCAACATTTCCAGGTGGTGGTTTTGAATGCTTGCAATGTACTTTTGATGGTGGCTCATATTTTACGATGCAAACACTATGGAATTGAATAAAGTCAGAGGAAAATAGGTGGAAATAGGTTGATTGTGAAGAATACATAGCTTTCAAAGTAGATAGATTGTCAAATTAGATAGCTTGCTTCCGAAGAATACACAGCTTTTAAAATAGATAGATTGTCAATTAAATAGCTTTCCGAAAGACCCATAGATAAACTGGCACATGTATTTCAAAGTTAACCGATTACTTGTGTCACTGCAGTGACGGGAGACTAGTGCACATTGATTTTGGGTTCATATTGGAAACTTCCCCTGGTGGGAACATGCGCTTCGAGAGCGCCCATTTCAAACTGAGCCACGAGATGACTCAGTTACTAGATCCGTCAGGTGTTATGAAGAGCGAAACCTGGAACCAATTCGTCAGGTAATAGCTGTACAGTTGCAGTTACTGCTTTCCCATTAGCCGAACAATGCTTTCCCGTGTTCTCATTGTTCATTTCTTCTGCGGCGCATCTACTCTGCAGCTTGTGTGTGAAAGGGTACCTAGCAGCTCGCAGATACACGAACGGGATAATCAACACGGTATTGATGATGCTCGAGAGCGGGTTGCCTTGCTTCAGTCGCGGAGACCCAATTGGGAATCTCCGTAAGAGATTACACCCGGAGATGACGGAGCGAGAAGCTGCAAACTTCATGATCCATGTTTGCACAGACGCCTACAACAAGTGGACCACCGCCGGCTACGACTTGATACAGTATCTGCAGCAGGGAATTGAGAAATGATTCATCCCCCAAGTAGGAACTGTCTTATTATGTAAATCCTTTCTCTTACCTTTTTTTGGTTGTTGTTGTTTCTATTTATTTTTTGGGGTAGTAGGATGTGATATAGGGGCCGTTGTTATTTGTTAGTATACATACACTACCCTCTTGAGAGGGGTTTGAGGCAATTTGTAGAAAATAACTTAAAAGGCAAGGCAACACAAGAAAAAACGGGATTTTGTATTTGTAACCTAATAACTTAAGAGGCAAGGCAACACAAGAAAAAAAAAAAGGGATTTTGCATTTGTAACATACTAGTTCATGAGGGTAATATCTATTATTTATCTAAATTTGTTTCATATTCATTTATATTATGCAAACCTATTAAAATGCTATTAATTAGTCAAATCTTTCGAAGTGCATCAAAATATTAGCCATTTTTAAGTTATCGTTAAAATTTTGTAACTCTTTTCTTAGTTAAAATACTGAAATGTTGACCTTCATTTGTCTCTTCCAAGTAAGTATCGTGTTGCCAAGTCCATATTACCGACAAAATTTCTAACTGGAAATTAACATTATCCTAATTATGATTCAGCTTTTTTCTGATGGATAAAGCTTCTTCCTCCCTATTCTACTAATGAAGGTCCACAATTTGTATTCCCGTTTATTGTGCAAAAGGATTGAATCTTAACGTCTTCCATCAGTTTGAATTATTATTTATTGATATTAACGATTCTCACCGATATTGAGCTTAACATGTGTCATGTCATCTATAAAAGAAGGAAAACCCACTAATTTTTCCATGTTTCCAGCTCATTTTTATTAACTACACTCCCAAACACCACACACATTAACCATTACACCATCTTCTAGTTACTTCCTACTATCCAACAATTCCACTTCACGCCCATTTTGGGCCTCTCTTTCCCTCAACCTCTCCACCTTCAAAGCCCTCCACCCAATGAAACTACCAAACAGAATCTCCATGTCCTCCAGCGTCCTTCCTTGAGTCTCCGGGTAACACAAAAAGAAGAACACGAACGCCACGGTGGCGATTCCGGCGAACAAGAAGAACGCGCCGCTGATCGTCAAACCCTTGTACAACGAAATGAACGTCGTCGAAATCACCCCGCTGACCACCCTGTTGACCGCCACGCCCATGCTCGTCCCCTGGGCCCGCAGTCGGAGCGGAAAAATCTCCGAGCTGTAGACCCACGTGATCGGGCCCATTCCGATCGAAAAAAAGCCCACGTAGGCCAGGACCATGGTGATGCACAGGCCCACGGCCCAATTCTGGGCCTGGGCCTGGTGGTTGATTACTTCCAGGCTCCACCCTAGGGTTATAAGGGAGGCGACCATCCCGCCGACGCTGCTGAGCAGCAGCGGCCGCCGCCCGATCCGGTCGAGCAGGAAAGTGGCGACGAGGATGAAGACAGTTTTTGTAAACCCGACGGCGATCGTCGCGAGGAGCTTCTTGTCCTTCGATGTGATTCCGGCCTTCTCGAAGATTCTCGGGCTGTACAGAACGACGGCGTCGATGCCGGAGGCTTGCTGGAAGAAGTGGATTCCGATGGCGCAGATTAAAATGTGGCGGACGGTGGGTGTGGGGCGGAGGAGGAGCTCCTTCCAGACGCCTTCGCCGTGGGATTTTTTGTCGGCGACGGCAACGACGTCGTCGTTGCAATTTTCGGGGATTCCAGCTGCGGATTTGATGTCGGAGAGGCGCGATTGGGATTCTTCCGGGGAGTCGGAGGTCTTATCGAGGACGCGCTTCGCGTCGCCGAGGCGGCCTTGTAGAACCAGCCAGCGTGGGGATTCCGGCATGGCGAGGACGCCGACGGCGAGGAAGACGGAGGGGATTGCGCCGACGCCGAGCATCATGCGCCAGCCGATGTGGTCCGGGAGCTTGGAGAAGGCGTAGTTGGACACGTAGCCGAGTAGAATTCCGGCGTTTATGAAAACCTGAAACGAGATTGGCGCAGAACAAAATTTCAAAATCATTAGCTACTTCAATTAGTGGAGTCGAACAATTCATAATTCGAATCCAATATTTTTTAGCGGCAAAGATTGATTCACTACTGTTGTGTGAAGAAGGATTTGACGATCCTATTTTTTAAGCACATAAGATATAATTTTATGTTTGTCTTAAAAAGAAATTTAATTTTGTGAGTGTAAATATGCAATTATATCATTAAAATCAGCAGATTAGCAGCTTCACTTAGTGGATTGAATATTTTCAATAGTTAAAATGAGATAATGGCCAATAGTTCAATTACTTACAAAATTATCATCGTGTTGTTAAACGATGAGAAATATGTAAAATTCTTTGGTAAGGTGATTTTAGACGGTAAATTATGCGCTTGTTTACCACAAGCACATAGAGATATATTTAAAAAAATTAAAATATAATAATTTTAACAATTTAAAATAGTGACGAACAACGGAAAAATTATCTTCGTAGTTGGAACAATTCATAATTCGAATCCAATATTTTTTAGCGGCAAAGATTGGTTTTTTTTATTATCATTGGAGGCTGTTGAAGAGATCGAGCTAGTATTACTAGATCAATCCTTATTCGTGTGAAGAACGATTTGACGATCCTATTTTTTAAGCACATGAGATATAATTTTATGTTTGTCTTAAAAGGAAATTTAATTTTGTGAGTGTAAATATGCAATTATATCATTAAAATCAGCAGATTAGCAACTTCACTTAGTGGATTGAATATTTTCAATCGTTAAATGAAATAATGGCCAACAGTTCAATTACTTACAAAATTATCATCGTATTGTTAAACGATGAGAAATATGTAAAATTCTTTGGTAAGGTGATTTTAGACCCTAAATTATGCGCTTGTTTATGACAAGCACATAGAGATTTATTAAAAAAATATTATATAATAATTTTAACAATTTAAAATAGTGACGAACAACGGAAAAATTATCTTCGTAGTTCAATCAACTATTCGTTGATCGAAGAGGAAATTTGAGATTTGAGAGGATAAGATATGTAATTTATCATTTTATTCACCTCATTAAATTTAATTTTTATCCGAAACTAATCTTGGTGCAGATTCATTTTATCCAAAACTAATCTTGTTGCAGATTCCATTAATCCAAAATTTATTTTTGGCAATAGTATGAAAGCTTTTGGTAAAATATTTATTACTTATGGTATAGTAATAAAAATCAACCGGAGAAAATTTGTTTGGTAACTTACTTCAGGGAAAGACGTGAGGAAGCCACGGGATGAAGCAGGGGAGACTTCGGCGGTGTAGACAGGGGCGATCATGAGAGCGTACCCGACGCCGACGCCGGCGACGAATCGGCCGACCATGAGGAAGGCATAGTTTGGAGCCAATCCCATCAGCAGAGCTCCGACGAAGAAAATCGCCCCGGCCACGACGATGGTGTACCGGCGCCCAATCCAATCGGAAGTCCTCCCGGCGGCGGCCGAGCCGACCAAGGAGTATATGTTCAGCATCCCGACCAGCACCTCGACTTGTGTGTCCGAGATCTTGAATTGGTCCTTTATGAAAATCGCCGCCCCACTCATCACTCCAATATCTATTAAAAAAAAACCATGTCCGAAATTAAATCCGACACGATAAAACAGTTGGTTTACAATTGCGTTACACCGAAATTCAGTGCGTACTACTCAGTTCTATGTCGCTCAGATTCGTAAAGATGAAAACACTTTTATATATAAAATAAATAAAATATGTTGACTGACCATAGCCGAGCAGGATGGAAGTCATGGAGGCCAGAATCGCGCAAGCGAAGGCATACTTGTTACGTTTGGGTTTGACGGGTGGGTCGAAATCGGCCAGCTTGTTGTGGTTGCGGCTGTTTTGGATCTCAATTGTGCCGGCGGCGGTGGCGGTATCCCGGACGGCGCTTGTAACGGCCATTTTCTTTCAGGAGGGAACGGGGAGAAGTGAGTGACGGCGAGTCGAGAGTGGTTTTTGCCTGGGCGATGATGGGGAAATGGGGCAGTGATTTGGCGTTATATAGACGACCAAAAGTCCAAAACCGAGACTACCAAAAACAAATAAATATAAAAAAAAAATTAACTAAACGGCGAAAAGAGGAGTTGAGTGATAGTCATAAGTTCATTGCTTGAATCTCATATTATAATGAGGTTATTAGGGGGATTTGTTTGGATAAGCTTATTGTATAATTTGGATGGTCATCAGTCAAATTCACTCACTCTCATAGTATCTCTACCTCTTTAATCTTTATATTATGATTTTCTTAAAGACAAAGTACATGTAATATGTTCTCATTTTCGTGTTAAAAATTCTATAAAAATGTATCAAATTCGGAATCAACTCATGTAACGTAAAATCGTTTTATGGATTAAAAATAGGCTCTTGATTGGGTGTGAGCTGGTTTGAGCGAATTTGAGATGGATTTCTCTAAATTATTCACATCCCCATTTCTAAACATTCAAACTTCTATCCAACCCATACTCATGCAACGAGGTTTTGCAACCTCATCCCCATACTCGCAATTTTTGGATACCCGAGGAATTTTACAATGTTATATAATATTGGTGCTATAGGTTTTTGTCTTTATGGTACACCTTGAAATTGTACTTTTAACGTTATGGTACAACTTTAGATTGTACCTATACTTTTTGCACAAATTATTTTATGATATAACTTGAATTTGTACCTTTATGTGATGAAACAACTTCAAGTTGTAAAGTTGTACCATAACATAATGATACAAATTTCTTTATGGTACAACCTAAACTTATACATTTAGTGTTGCGGTACAACTTCAAGTTGTACATTAAAGCACCAATACTATATAGCATAGTAGTAGTGCTCTTGGATACCCATGGTAATACACGCTAAATATATTCAATATTACTCTACTTGAGATTCAACATGTACATCTTCAATTATAAGACTAAACGGACATAATAAATTATTAAATCAACAAAGATACAATAATTCTCAATACAAATTAAAAGCATCTAATCCTAAAAAATCTATAAGATAAAGTACAATACTATCCAAATCATTCATCTCCAACTAAGACACATCTACTAAACAATAAATAACTAACACAATCTTATTAACAAAGGGAAAAAATTATTGTCTAGTTTGGATGATCACTAAAGGGTTATAATACTATCCAAATCATTCACATCCTTCCGATCTTTGAGGGTTAGAATATGGTCCTTATATTTTTTAATATATGAAGAAATACTTTTGGTGGATGGGTATTGTACGGGGCGGGGAGTCCGAAACAAAATTTGCGTCCATCAAACTTTTTTGTAAAGTTTAGCCATACTCATCTCATATCCAATCAATATAAAAAATCACTGTGTTTACTGAGTTAGGAGCGATCGAGTACTCACATTTACGGGTTTGATTGCCTACCATATTGAATTTAACGGGGTTTGAATAAATTCAAGGAGCTGGATTCGTGAGTAAAATGTAAAATTTCATGTATACATAATGATGTGACTCATAAAGTAATGCCTGTGAGTGATATGATCCGACCAAGAAGTATGATTTGGATTTATCCCATGGTTATCATAATATTAAATATTTATTAGGATAAGTTCGAGATTAAAAGATAAAATTGCCTGTTACCAAAAAAATAAAAAAGATAAAATTGCCGGTTGTTCATTCCATTTTGGCAAACATGATCTCTTTTCTCTTCGTAGGTTTCCTTACTCGATTTGATATCCTTAATTAATAAGATAATAATAATAATAATAATGTTTCATCATTGACTGAATCCTAATGATCCTTTCTACCAAAAGTGGGATTGCATATGAATCTTCCACCTGTAATAGTTCTCTGTTTCTTTGAAACCACTTGATCCCCCAACGTAACTGAATTCTTATTTAAATATTCCACCATGCATAACCTATCATTTCTTTTCTTTTCTTTTCTTTTCAGAGATAGGTAAAACAATTTTCTTATCAATTTTCAATGTTCAATTACATGCTCGATGTACTTACCATTTACAAAAGATTTTCAGTGATGAATAAGTTTCGAATCTTAAAAGTAATAATTATCCGTTAAAAAAATTCTGTAGACCAATACTCGATAGTATAAGTTGTAATTCCGAGTTTTTCAAAGGAGGATGGTATTAGGGCACCCACGAAGATCATATTATACCCAAATGCTTAAATGGAGTAGCATCAAGGAGTGCGAGTTGATGAGAACTCTTCAACTCTTTCACGAAAGCTACGAGCATTTCCATTAAGGATTCAAACTCCTAAAAATTAAACATCGGACGTTTTCCTTTATATCGACTACAAGAAAGTGATTAAAATTCATACATACATCAAGTCAAAACACGAACTCCCATAAAAATTCTCATAGAGTACAGGAAATAAACTCGATTGATATCAGCTCGTATAAACGACCATCTTCTATGTATCTTCACTCACCTAACTAGTTTAAAACGTTCTGCCAGAAAATTGCATGTGGGTGTCAAAGATTTCTCCATTATTTTCAAAAGGTCAACAAAGATGGCCAGTTCTGTGTGTGTATATAAACTGGTTGTTTGATCACTCATATATTAAACCTCCTCTCTTGGACTTAGCTTGTTTGTCTTCACTAATAATTCTCTTAATCTTATAAATCCCGTTTCTTATGTATAGTTTTGCTACTCATTTCTTGGGGGGATGATCATGATTCATGACCAACACACAAATAAAATATTCATGTTAATAATTTCGTAAGAAATATCGAGTCAACACTTATGATGTGTGCAACATAATTAATCTGAGACGATCGAGGAGAGTATGATATAATACTAATTAGGGAGTGATATTTGACTTAATTGCATAGTTAATTAGTAAACACTTTGACTTGAGAAAGCGATCGTAGGTTAGAGATTAGGCTAGCTTAGCTCATGAGAGCTGAATTATTGGACTATTCTTAACATATTATCCGACTTAGAGTTAAGATCTGTGCAAATTTCAAACTCATATGGATAATTTTTTATTTGAGGTGCGTGTTAAAAGTAGAGTTAAACTATATGTAAATCTTGATAAGAACATCTGGTTTTAACTATAACAAGGGGAAATAAAGAGATGAACTGTATGTAAATCTTGATAAGACGTTCTCCATCCCCTTTCGGCCCATATTCCTCAAAGTTCATATTTTTCTGCCTCCGGCCGCCGCTCGAAGCTATGACTTTTGTGATCATCGATCAATAAGCACATGTAACTATATATACACAACAATCTTTTTATTCATGGTGCGTCTATCCGTCGTTTGTTATCCTAAAATGCAACGTCATTAAGTTCAAAACTCTTGTTTTCCAAAATTTAATCCAATCTATCGCATGTCGTCTACAAATTAGTTATACAATTTCCACCTATAGAAATCAAAATTTGTGACGATCCTTGATAAGTGGCGTGTTGCTTTCCGTAATCTCGATCTCCATTGTTGAAAATTTCATTACGACAGAATCCACACATTAAACAAATTAAGCATGATGTCTGCAAATTTGGATGCATGCATGTCAATTTCATACCAATCTATGTTAAATTTTTAATGACTGTCTCTATCAAATATTATTAAACATGGAAATAAATATTTAGATTCCAAACATTTCATAACTTTTTTGGTCCAAGAAATCCGACTTTAGGCATAGTGGAATTGCTTGATTTCTTGATCAGGACATATATTCATTCACTTTTCTTAACTATGGATACGGATTTTGTTTTATATAATTTTTATGGTCAAAACTTTATTTTGTGGCAATAACGTTGTTCAGATTCATTGGATCCAAACAGGTGTCCAATTTGTGATCATTTTCTAATACTGGAAATCCTTTTAAATTGTTTTCGGCCGGTAAGAGGCACAAATTAGGGTGGCAGTTCGGTTATTTCGGTTATAACCGGTAATTGATCGGCCGGTTATCGGTTAATCGAAATAACCACATTCTCTACCGAAAACCGACCGAAATAGGCTTCGGTTTCTCGGTTATCTCGGTTATCGGTTAACCGAACTACTTTTAAGGCCAAAAACCATTTTGTCCAGCCTCCGATAACTGACCGAAGTTCGGTTATTTTGGTTACCGGTTAGTGGATAACCGGCCCGGTTATCGGTTTAACCGGTAACCGGTAACCGAACGGCCACCCCTAGCACAAACCTTGCAATTCACACAAAAGTTGGAAGAAAGTGCCAGCTCAGCTCCTCCATGCAATCATTGATCTCCTGCTGCTGCTAGTGGGGCGTACGTTGTCCAGTAGTTTTGCTCTCAGTTGTCACCATTCTAGGCTCTAGCTAAAGAAACGTCGCAGTTAACACTTCACTTCGTCTCAGCACTTAAAATTTGGACGAATATGGCGGGAGTGAGTTTCAGAGTTTGTGGTGGATTCTACAACACAGCAAGAACAGTTGGCCATTTCAGCCACAAGTTTGATAGAAAAATGGAGATGTGGAACTCGAAACACGAATGCTCTGCTACGTTTCTCCAAGCTTTCCCCATCCTACCCATTCAGCTGTCTTGTTCTTATCTTATGTACATGTTGTTCGTCTCATTCGCTTTGCTTTCTGTCCCTTAACTTTTCACTTTCTTGGCTCTAGTTTTAGCACACACACGTGTCGCGCGGCTTTTGGATTACCTCAAATCGCTCTCTATAATGGGTGGGAGTCGAGTCGCACCTAATCACTTTTTCAAGTACGCCAAACCGCACAATAAGGTGTGCGGTCAGAATTTTTAGCAACTCGAAATTCGAGGTCGGGTTAATCCGAAACAGTACGGTTGCCCACTACACCATTACCAACTACCTCCACTTAAGGATGACAAAGGGGAAGGGGAATAGGGGATGGGGCGATGACCTATCTTAGCATGTGATTAGAAAACAACGTATGTAATATTAACACTCATCAAAGACAGTAAAATGGTTTGTCAAAATAGAAAATTTGTACTAGAGAGCAATGAGAATATGAGATCATACTCATCGAGAACAAAGTGAGACGGCAAAAAATAAGACCTATGCCCAATCCAAGCAACTCGAAAGACAACCAATACCCCATGCAAAACAAATCAACACAGAACGAAATCTGTAAGTCAAGTCGAAATTGCAATCCCTTCCCTGCTTCCGTCTCTAAATAATTGACAATGCACTATTTGATGCAATTCAATATCAAGGTGCAGTAACTTACCATTAGGTTCTCCAAGCACGATGAAAATCCATCATTGGTGAAAAAATTTACTATAACCAACCAGAACGATCCTCAATTTATTGGGGGGAGGAAGTAGAGGGAACTGGCTACTAATTTGATGAGGTGGACCAATACAAAGTCGACTCTCTCTACAATCAACTTACATATAAATATTACTTTTTGACTGGATGAAGTTTCTTAAAAGAATTACATTTACCATTACACGAAGGGAAACTAGTTTCACCTTCTCCTACCTTCCCCATACTCATCTTCACCCTCCTTATCTTTCAGAAATCCCAGGAAGGCAAGAAAGCCAAACAGGAAGAAGCCGCCAGACCAGTTCCCTCCACCACCACCTCCGCCGCCACCTCCCCCGTCATCGCCCGGTGGGAGTCCAGGCCCTCCATCATCAATCTCCGGCGTCTTAGTTGGTTCTGTAGTTCAATCCCACGCGTTACCAAGCATATAACACAGGCACTAATCTTTAACTAAAGCAACCAGCTCCACTAGAGTACTAACACTTAACATAGCACCACCATTGACATGTTAATGTGCTTTTACCACCACCAATTGTTGCAATTAGGTGAAATTAATAAGCAAAAATTGCAGTTACCTCGTACAGGGGCCTGGGTAATGGTCGGTGACTGCTTGAGAACAGTTTGAGTTTGTCCGGAAGCTGAGCACCTTGCATTCTGCAGAATATAAAGTAAACAAGTTACAGTTCTAACTTCCACATTATGTGATAATTTCATACGAGAAAACAAATGCAGAAAAGCATATCGTTAATGCTTTCAGACTTGTTCAAAGAGAGAAATATAAAATGATCGTATTGCTCGGGTAAGACAACCAAACACAGACCCAGGAAATGTGACTCAACAAGGCATTATTTTGCAAGAGAGAATGGACAAGCAGCTTTAAACCAAGTAATCACCCATTGCAAGAAGAGTCTAGAACGTGTCGAATAAGGTTAGCAAAAGAAGCCTGCCAGATTCATTGATACACGGGAAAATCACTTTCTCGAAAAAATACTGACAGCACACTGCACTCGGCCTTGGAAAGAAGACAAACCAAGGAGGCCAACAAACAAGAATGAGAGGAGCATCAGTTTTAAGTCAAAAGTTCAAAGAACAGAGATTCAAATAAATTAATCACACACACTGTTAACAGCCCAAAGAAAACACATCAACTCGTCACCTGCTTTAGATATCTCTTTAAGTACTGTATTCCTGAATCAGTACACTCAAAATGAACAACCTAACCTATTGAAAGTCAGAGTTAGTTGCTACCACAATTCTCTCCACAACCATCATAGCCATGTACTGTTATCATTGAGAAAGATGCATTCAAATAGGACACACCACACAGAAACACTATCAAATTAAGACAATTCAATCACCAATCGTTAAGTAAAAGTGTGTACAGCAATTATTCTCACCAGAGCAATAGAGCACACAATAACAGGAGACAGGGTTCTCTTGGGATTGGAGGATAATTGTGTGGAAAGCCTCGCTGGTCTAGAAACCACAAGTTTATGATGCCTCCTTGCTTTCAAAGGTTGAAAGTGCACAAATTTCCTGACTGGCTTATCTTTTTGCTTGTTTAGGCCATTCCATAGACCCTCGAAATTTGCTATACAGCAAAACATAAACGTGAGTGTCTGTCAATTGATAACTTAGTATTATGAAATGCTGTAAGAAAGACCATTGTGCAGATAAAGTCAGCTCTCCCCCTTCCACTACCACTAGGCCTAATATGCTGGGCATACACACCTCATCCATCACAGCTGGTCTAGTATGCTTTATTCATCGATGGCAAGAAAAATCCAATATCTAGTTATTATTCTTTCGAAAGCAAGTGACTTGCCCTGCTAAACCTAGCATACGAATAAGATAGTGTGCACATCAAACTGCACCAAAAGTGAAAAGAAACAAGGGGTTTAAGCAGCATGGTAAAAGAAGATGAACTGCACAAAAGCAGAGAAATTTCTAGCATGGATCTACTTGTTCCAGTCTTCCATGAAGACCATCTCTAAGTATTCAATTGCACACTTCTACACAGACAAGATTTTGGAAACGACTACCAATCATAGCTGTCAGGCTCCAAAGTACAAGAGATTTGAAGGGTCACAATGTTCTTTATTAAAATTATGAGAATTCATTTCTCATTTTTCCCCAAATGCCTACGCCAACTAGTAGGGAAGGAGAACTGATATAGTGTACAAAAGAAAAATGCTAGACACATCTTAATCAAAACACTTGAACATCAGCCAAGTGCTTAGTCTGAGCAATACCTGGGGTTACCAGAGGTAAGGAGGCTACAGCACAGGCTACAGACATCCTGATGAAAAAAGCAAAAAACGACCAGTTAGTGTTATGATTATATGCTTTGAAGGGAGAACATCAACTATATCAACAAGAAGTAGCCAAACGTCACTATTCACAATTGAAAATTCAAAGATGAACAAACATAACTTCCCTCAATGAGAAGTTCTTCATACAACCTATAAAGCTTTATCAATATGAACATGACAACCAAGGTAGGAACAGTCAGATAACTGCTATATGCTATCGTCGTGTTCTTGGAAGCAATAACAAAAGACAAAAATAGTACACAGGAATCTAACTTCCTCTTTTGAGTACACAAACAACGTAGAACCAATATGGAGAACCCATAGGGGGAAGGAACACGCCCATTGCTCAATGAAATCTCCCAAAGTTTCACCATTCAAGGGAAAATGCTTGAAAGGGGCAGGCCCATCTCGCCAAATGATGAACGTAGCAAACAACGCAGAATTAGCACACAAACTAACTAACTCCCCGACGATTAGAAGCCTCTAATAGCTGGCCATTGCATCGTAATAAAAGCAACACGACCAGTCAATGTCAAGCGAGCGAAGAAAGCCGCAAGTGAATCGGAACCTAATATATTGAAACTCAGTGCGATCGACGAAAGCCAAAATCAGCACCTAGGGTTCGGTTTTGTCTGAATTGAGGAAGAAGCAAATCCAGATATCCTTTTCTTCCCGCCGGGGAAAGGGCGCCACGGGGGGGAAAGGTGACAGAGCTCCAACGGCGAGCCTCTAGCGCCCTCTATCCTTTCCTCTCAACCCTGATAACGACGGTTGACAGCTGCGGCGAGCCGAGCTCGCTTTCTCGGTCGAACCCTCCTCACCTCTCTGTTTTCGCCTGCGAAGGCCGAAACAACGAGCAGATGGTTTTCAGTTTCCCTTTTTCTTCTTAACCTTCTCTCCTCTCTCTGGATAATTTTGTCATTTAATGTAGAATATTAATATCCATTTGGATCCTCAAACTTACTATGTTTTCTATCCAGATTCCTGAAGTCAAGATTTTTGTAAAAAAGTACCTAGACTTATCCTTGAATAAAAATTATTGGATAAATGCCACATTTGGACTCATTAACATTACTAAATCGTGTCATGTTTAGTCACTAGAAAAATTTAATATCAATTCAGGTCACTCGAATTACTGAAACTGGTCACATTTAGTCACTCGCTCCCGTTAGTTTCCGTCCAACTCCATTAACGGGAGAGTGACTAAATGTGACATATTTCAGTATTTTGGGTGACTAAATGTAACATTTTTATTAATTTGAATGACCGGAGTTGGACAGAGGCTACAGGAGAGTGACCCAATGTGACATGTTTCACTAATTCGAGTGACCAGAATTGAGATTAATTTTTTCTAGTGACTAAACATGACACGATTTAGTAATCTCAGTGACCAAATTTGACATTTACCCATTATTGCTTCTAAGACTACATTTTTTTAGCTAATTACCTAACCCACACAGCCAGGTATTTTCAGTCTATTACTTGCTCCGACTCTCTATGTAGAACTTTTCTGTAATATATACTTGAAATTTACGTATGTTGCATCATATTTAAACTTTAATGCAACTACTCCTCGTTTCGCATACAGTACCGATTATACTGAGAGACATCTTTATCGAATAAAATAATAATAAAAAGTCTACCGGAATTAAGCAGGTGTCCTCTCCTGAACGAGGACTAAGTTATAATTTGGGGAACCTCTGTAAAACTTCGGTGTGAATGTGATATTTACTTTTCCTGCTCTCGTTTGTGTCTATGTTGGCATGCTTTTGCTACTCTGTTATTTGGTTGATCAGCTGTTATAGAGTGCTCAGGAAGAAGACGGCCAGTTCCTCTGGGTCTCGTTCTTCTTCCGGCCCTCAGAGCCCAGAGGGCTTATTGAAACCAAAGCCCAGCGTTGTTTATTTCGTTCTTGGCTAGACTTTATTGTTTTGTTCAATTGGGCCTGTTTTGAGTTAAGCCCACTTTGATTTCGTCGAACAAAGTATGTGTCTAATTGGATTGGAACCAAGACTAATAACTAGTGCGATCAGCAGTTCGATCAACTCTGAAGTGCACAGGAACTATTCTTTTTTGCTTGTGCAGTAGCAGCGCCTGCCATTTTAAATGCACGATGGCTTTGAATCTCAAACGATTGGATGAATAATCAAAAGGCAGGATCGCAAGACTTGCAAGTTGTAATATTGCCTTTCTATCATTCATCCAAAATGGCATGGTAGAGTAACTAAGTTACAAGATCCAAAAAAAAATTCCACATCCATTTGTTATGTGGATGATATCTTCTAAAAAAGCATGGTAAAATATTGCCTTTCTATCATTCGAGTGGGTCAACTCCGGATGCTTAACAGCTTATCACTAGTAGAATAAATATTGTATCCACTGAACAAAACTCAACCAATATTTAATCGATTAACGGTTACATCGATAACCGTGATTAACAGTTGTAGTTTACAAATTATAAGTTAGTCGAGCGATTATTGATAGGTTGAAATGACTTCCGGTATAACCGATAACCGAATAGTCAGTTAACGATTGACTGAATATAATTATCTATGTTTCTCTCCACAAAATTGTCATCTCTCTCAAAAAAAATATTGGACTTGGAACAAATAATCTCCTCCCACCCAAACCCTTTTCTTCATCCTCAATTTCCTCCTAATGTGAACCCTAAAATTGAAAAAATGTAAAGAGCGCCGTCGATTCTGAGAATGATATGAAGGCATCGAGATTGAATTGGGAAAGATCAGATGACTCATGCTGGAAGAAAGATAGCAAAGACCGTACCACCAATTTCTTCCATTAACAACTTCTCTCACCGAGTTCATACTGATCACTCTTCTCGTTCGCTGTCTCTTTGCTTTCTTTTGTGAGTTCCAATAGAAACAACAAAACAAACTCAAATCAATGATAAAAATATAAAAAAAAGTGCACATACGGGAAACATCTAAAAAATGCACAATTAAAAAAGAAAAAAGAGAGGAGAGAGGCCTTTTGTTTGTTCGGTTACCGATTGATTATTTTAGTATAATATTTCCAAATCACTTGCTAAACAATTAGTTGATTAACCGATGTAATAATCGATTATTAAGTATACGATTACGGTTAACCGACTAATATAAACGATATATAATCATCTGTAAGTCAAATGCTTAACGGTCAACCAATAATCGAATAAACAGCTACAGTTATAACTGAACCCTAATACTAACTATACCCTTGAGCAACAATGCTAAACATGTATATCCAACACACATCCATCTAAAACTCACTGTCAGAATCATCAAACAGCATCTCAATATACCTCTTGTTTTCGTGCTTCGAGCTTCATTATGTAATTGCATTTCATAAATCACTCATGGTGGTTGCTAATTTGTCTGCTCTAATAATGAGGGGGGAATAGACCACACACTGCAACAGAACAATGACATACTATGAAGCAAAACCATCCAAGAACCATAGCAACAATTATCGATGTGCATTTTTTTCCACGATGTTCTCTTGTTTGGGCAGAATCAGTATGGGTTCGATGTACATACAATACAGTAGAAAAGGGCGATGTGGGGGAAACAGAGAGACACGATTTGAAAGTAAGCATAGAGAGAAGATAAAACTCAAAGAGGGAGATTTGCGGAAAGGGACGGAAGAGTAGGTACCAAACATTCCGAACCTTATAACCCAACAATAGCAAAACTATAAAAAGAGTAAGAGAAGAAGAAGAGGACAAGGTAAGTATGCCTCTCAGCGTAAAGTCAAACCACCTGCTGTGCTGTCTATTCCCAACTAATGGCGTTATTCCCAATTTCTTCCAAAAGCATGCGTAGCGCGTATAGCATGTGCATATATACAAAGTGTATATGGCGTACCATCTGGCGACGGAGCAGAGGCGTCGCCGGAGAAACCGTTCATATATGGGTAAAACTCGAGTCGACTTTACCTAATTTAAGCTCGTATCGTTAATAACGATTTGAGTTTGAGGTTGGCTCATTTATTGGAATTGTTAGGACGTACACGATTCGAGTTTGGTTTATTAATGAGTTGAGAACTCAACTAATTTAGCATTATAAATAGTTGAACCCAAAAAGTTAATAAATTAAAATCTTTAATGTTAATATTGTCGTATATATATAATGTGAGCGAATTTTGGATAAAGTTTAGAGTACAACTATGGTAAAACTTCATAATATCAACTCATCATTGTCATATGTTACCACCATTGTAAAACGGACAATAACATCGTATGCCACTTTCGTATAATGATAATACTACTATGATAATATCACAAGCTGAATTTTGTAAGCAATTTTTTGAAATCCGATGTAAAATGAAGGAGATATCGTTCGTTGAAGATTGATAGCATTTTTAAAAAGTGCATTTACTCACGTCTAAAGATACGTGCCGGCCACACAAAATTTACCCAAGTGTCTCTCAAACTCCTACTTTCCCTCATTACTCAGTTACTCATATGCAAATATGACCATTATATCACACATTCTCTGATCTCAGTAATTTGTATTTGGTTTTGTAGAACTACATAATAGGAGAGCTTTGTTTTATAACATATCTCACCTAATAACATAATATATGTGATTAATGTCGTGATGAAAAGATAATTATAAAATTTTCATCATAAATTGATTTCATTTTTATGGATTTTCCCCAAAATATCACACACTAAAATTCCCAAAATACTAAAGTTTGTCGTGGTTCGTTGCAGAGTCCAGCGATCTAGGCACTGGCTCGCTAGAACCAGGGCTATCTAACCCAAATCATGGCCAACTAAAGTGAACAAGCCTCGAACCAACCAAGATCGCTCGAAATTTCAACGAACCATATGCCGAACTTGTGTATTTTAAGAATTTCCTATGTAAAAGTGGTATTTGTGAATATTTTCAAAGCAAGTCTAGTATTTTGGGGAAAATCTCATGTTTATATACGTTGTACGTTGTTGGTATCATATAATTTAACTTTAGATTCCTTAGTGACTAATTGGAAGAGTCAGATTCCGCCACGAACCATATTATTTAATAATAATGAGTATCTAAACAATCTATAATATATAGTTTTCTGTTGGGGAAATATAGATAAGCCCATCCAAGCCCAAAACCTGATGGGCTTGGAGCCCATTAGTGGCCCGTTGAGACATGACCTGGGAGGCACCAACGGTAAAGGGGTGCATGGCGACAAAATAGACTCACGGACAAGGAAGTACGGCGGAGGAGGGTCGGAAAAGCACCACGTAGGTTGATGGTCCCCCCATGCGCCCTGACACCGAAGTCGGACGACGCGCCACGTGTAGGCGCTCGGACGTTGGACCAGACCAGGCTTTTGATGCTTGGCTGACGTAAGGCTTGGTGGCAGGAGTTGGTCGGAGCCTGGTCGAGGACCTCGAGTAGTATAAATAGCACTCGGTAGGTGGCATTTACTCAGGTCGGTTTCTCTCACTAAAGTTCTACTTCCTCACTTATCTCTCTAGAACTAGCACTTACTTGATCGTTGGAGTGCTAACGAGTGGCACCAGCCCTCTAGGCGTTAGTTTTGCAGGGTCTGAGCGCCTGTGGTGCGGCGGTTAGGGTGCGCTTGGAAGAGTGAAGTATCTGGGCTTCAACAATTGGCGCGCCAGATAGGGGCGCATAGCCTGAGAGGATATAGGAAGATGGAAGACTTTAATGAAGGAAATGCAGGCGTGGACGATGCGAGAACGGAGGACTCCAGTCATGAGGGGAGCGGGCAACGGTCTAGCCCAGTGGTGAGCATGGAGGTAGAGGAAGAAAGCCGTGAGCGCCCATCTTTTGAGAGTGACTCATTGTCAAAGAGGGAGCTATTTAAGATCATCGCGGACCAGGACAAGGCAATAGCCATGCTTCGGAAGGAATTGGAAGGAGGAAGGAGCGCCGATACAAGAGAGTACAGCCCCCCCGGTAAGGAAGCGTGACAGGCTCGTGGATGATTCGGACGTTAGTGAGTACGGGCGCCCATACTATGAAGGGCCGCATGCGGAAGTTACACCACCTAGGCGCCCGGGTGTGTGGAGAGCGCCTGGTGAGTTGGCCAGCTCGGGGCCGGAGGAGCAAAACCCATGGACGCCTAGACGCCAGACCAGGCGCTTTGGGATCAGGCAACCCCTGGCGCAAAGCATCCTGATGGAACCAGCAGGAACTACCCTCCCGCCTCCGACCAGCTATGATGGGGTCACTGACCCGGAGGATCATTTGAATAGCTATTTTACGAGGATGCAGCTGTATAACAGCACGGACGCCACGCTATGCAAGGTGTTCCCCTCGACGTTCGTGGGAGTAGTTTTGGACTGGTACCATCAATTAGAGGAGGGACGCATTGAGTGCTTTGAACAGTTCGCGGAATTGTTCTTGTCCAAATTTGCGAGCCGAAAGCGTCGGACACTGACTATAGGCGCCTTGTTTAAAATCAAGCAGAAGGACGGGGAGGCGCTTAGAGAGTTCTATGACCGGTGGATTTCGGTCGCCATGGCTGTGAAGGATGTGCAACCGCCCGTCCTGGGCGTATGTCTGGAGGAGTGCACGAACAGTGAGGAGTTATGTCGGGTGCTGTCTAAGAGGGCTGTAGTTTCAACAGAAGACTTGGACCGAAGGGTTCAGAAGGTTATTGCCTTGGAGGAAACATTGGCTGCAAGAAGAGCAGAGAAAAGGCGTATGGGTAGGGAAGAGATCGAAGTGCGCCAGGCTCCCAGGCCATTCATTGTGAACGACGCTCCGCAGAGGAGAATGGAGAGTCAGCGCCCCATGCCCAGGAGTGCGGGAAATTTTACGGAGTACAACGATTCCTTGAAGAACATTCTGCAGTACGTGAAGGACAAAGGGTACCATGTGCGTTGGCCGGGACCCATGCGTGGGCAACCAAATGAGCGAAATCTTGATCGATACTGCGACTTCCATCGGGATAAAGGGCACCATACGGCCGATTGCTACCAACTAAAATCGAAACTGCAGACTCTAGCCGATCGAGGTATGCTCAACGACTTTGTAAGAAAAACAGATGAGCGGACTCACCGTGCTTATGTCACAAGGGAAACAAGGCTGGCGCCTTTTGTTCCCACTACGCTGAGGGCGCCCATCCTCCCCACAGTGCAACAGACGCCTGAGGTTCACCCACCCCCACTTGAGATACCCCCGCCTCCGTTTGAGGTGAATCAAGAAGGAGAACCCAGCTGGGTTAGACTCACAGTGGAATCCATAACTGGTACCATCGACTTGCGAGATAAGTTGGATCGTTCTAGGCGCCTCAGGGCCGCGTCCGTGGAAGCAAAGGCGGCGGTCCAAATATTCTTTAATCAGGAGGCAGATGAGGCCTGTCAAGTACCTTCGGAGGAGGCTTTGGAGATACAAGGAATCATTGCAGGGTGCAAGGTCAAAAGTATGTTGGTAGATACGGGCAGCTCGATGGATGTCTTGTTTAAAAGCACATTTGAGCGCATGCAATTGGCGCCGGAGTTGGTGAGCCCCTCTGATTTAGTGCTGATAGGGTTCTCGGGGGCGCCTGCCCATGTGATAGGGCGTGTGCGCCTCCCGGTTACGTTGGGTGATGGGGCGCATCGAGTAACACATGCAGTGGAGTTTGGGATAGTGGATTGCCCCTCGCCGTACAATGTCATACTAGGAAGACCCCTTTTGGCGTTGTTCAATGGGGTGGCCTCAACTTGCCACCAAACGTTGAAGTTTGTGGCCCCACAAGGCATAGGAATCTCAAGAGGAGAAAGCGCCCCCCGCTACGCACGGGAGGAAGAATGGAGAAGGAAAGGCGCCCGGAGGCACAGGGTGAACAACATAGACATTCGCCCAGAGGAAGCGCCTAGAGCAGAGCCTGTGGATGATGAGTTCAGTGTGTCGATCGAAGAAGGGCGCCCAGACCGACAGGTACGAGTGTCAGCACAGGCGCCGGAGCACATGAGGGCGCCCTTGATCAATTTATTAAGAGAATTCGGGGAACTTTTTGCGTGGAGCCCCCAGGACATGCCGGGAGTGTCTCCAGACGTGGCGGCGCATCGATTGGCCGTCGAAGAGGGTAAGAGACCTGTCCAACAGAAGCGAAGAAATTTGACTCAAGAGAAGGAGGAAGCCCTGCGGAAGGAGGTCGATAAGTTGCTCGAGGCAGGATTTGTTGAGGAGGCCAGGTATATCACTTGGCTGTCGAACGTTGTGTTTGTCCCAAAGCCGTCGGGGGATTGGAGAATGTGCGTGGACTTTACCAACCTTAATCGTGCGTGCCCAACGGACGCCTACCCAATGCCCCAGATTGATCTGCTTGTGAACGCCACGGCCTACCATGAGGCGCTTAGCTTCCTTGACATGTTTTCAGGGTATCATCAAATTCCCATGGTGGAGGAGGATAGAGCAAAGACCGCCTTTATGACCCCTTTTGGCAACTTCTGTTATAAGGTGATGGCATTTGGATTGAAGAATGCAGGCACCACATATCAGCGCATGGTGAATCAAATCTTTCGTGAACAGTTGGGAAGGAACATCGAGGCATATGTCGACGATTTGATCGTGAAAAGCAAGAGGCGCCAAGACCACATCTCAGATTTGAGGGAGACGTTCGAGACTATGCGCCTGTATAAGCTGCGACTTAACCCGAAGAAGTGCGTGTTCTTAGCAGAGGCTGGCAAATTCTTGGGATTCATGATCACAAAAAGAGGAATTGAGGCCAACCCAAAGCAAGTGGAGGCAATCATGAGGTTGACGCCTCCCCGAACGCCAAAGGCGATGCAAGGGTTGACGGGAAGATTGGCGGCGCTGGGCCCCCCTTTTTCAGAACGTTAACGAAGGCAAGCAAGTTTAAGTGGACGGAGGAGTGCGATGAGGAATTCGGGGATTTAAAGAAGTTGCTAACCGCGCCCACTGTAATGACCGCGCCTAAGATCAAGGAGACACTATACTTGTACATTGCGGTCTCCCATATTGCGGTGAGTGCGATGTTGGTGTCCAAAGATCCGTCAACGAATGAGGAAAGACCGGTGTACTACGTGAGTCGTACCATGGTGGTGCACGAGACGAGATATGCGCCCATTGAGAAAGCGGCGTTGGCGGTAGTGATGGCGGCTAACAAACTCCGGCCTTACTTCCAAGCTCATAGCATCGTGGTACTCACGAACTTGCCTCTCCGTACGGTCCTTGGGTCCATGGATGTTTCTGGGCGCCTGGTCAAATGGGCTTTTCAGTTGAGCGAGTTCGATGTGAGTTATGCGCCCCGACCAGCCATCAAGGCGCAAGTGTTGGCCGATTTTGTGGCAGAAGGAGTGGTTGACGCGGGGAATGGCGCGGAAGAGTGTTGGCAAGTTCAGGTAGATGGAGCGGCAAGCCGAGCTGGTGCGGGAGCAGGTATTGTGCTAATCAGTCCCAGGGCGCTATGCATGAGGTCGCACTACGTTTCGCAACTCTTAAAACGAACAATGCGGCGGAATACGAAGCGGTCCTGGCAGGGCTCCACATGGCAAGGGAGTTGGGCGCCCATAAGGTTAATGTCCAGACTGACTCGACGCTCGTGGTCAATCAGCTGAACAATGTGTATGAGGTAAAAGAGGAGGCGCTGGGAGCATACGTTCACTCAGTCAGGGAGAAGTGTGCGTGGTTTAGGGAGGCTACGTTCACACATGTTCCAAGAGAGGAGAATGCCCATGCGGACGCCCTATCTAAGTTGGCCACGGCGTTGGATATTGGAGAAGACAGGAAGGTGATCGTCACCAAGGAAGCCCCGCGTGATGAGGGGGTGATGGCATCTATTCTTGTGGGAACCATGGAAGGATGGATGGCGCCTATCATGCTTTTCCTAACGCAGGGCGTGGTCCCAGAAGACCCCAAAGAGGCTTGGCATTTAAGAAGGAAAGTGGCACGATGTGTTCTCATGGAGGGAGTGCTATACTAAAGATCCCACTCGGGCGCCTATCTGCGTTGTCTCACGGAGGCCGAAGGGCAAAAGGCTATCGCGGAAGTGCATCAAGGAACGTGTGGAATGCACGTTGGCGCCCGGAGCCTAGAAAAAGTGCTGCTAAGATAGGGTTATTATTGGCCAACAATGAGGGCTGATGCTGGGAAGCATGTGGCCGAATGCCACCAATGTCAAATCCATGCCAACGACATACATGTGCCGGCTGCACCCATGCAGGGGAACGTAGGCGCCTGGCCGTTCGCACAATGGGGGATGGATCTTCTGGGACCCTTCCCCAAGGCGCCCGGACAATTTAAGTACTTGATTGTGGCTATTGACTATTTTACCAAGTGGATTGAGGCGGAACCCTTGGCATCCATCACGGAAGTGCAAGTGCAGAAGTTTACAAGAAAGAACATCTTCACAAGGTTCGGGCTGCCGGAGTCGATCATCACCGATCATGGCAAGCAATTTGATTGCAAGAAATTTATCGACTTCTGCAACGAAAATGGAGTGGTCCTGAGATTCTCTTCTGTGGCTTATCCGCAAGAAAACGGGCAAGCTGAAGCGGCCAACAAAATTATATTGCATGGGCTGCATACCAGGCTCGAAGAAGCTAAGGGGAACTGGGTGGAGGAGCTTCCAAGCGTCTTGTGGGCGCACAGGACCACCTTCAAAGTTGCAACAGGGGAAACACCTTTCGCACTGACGTATGGCAGTGAAGCGGTGTTACCAGTGGAGGTTCGCATTCCGACCTTTCGAATGGCGCATAAGGGGGAGGCAATGGAGGAACATGAGCGGATCAATGAGTTGGATCTCCTCGATGAGCATCGCGAAAGGGCGGCTCTGCGCCTGGAAGCAATGAAGTCGCAAGTATCCCGATATTATAACAAGAAGATGCGCCCGCATGACATTGTGGCTGGGAGCTTGGTGCTGAAGCGCGACTTTCGCCCAAAAGCCACTGATGGTAAGTTGGCACCAAAGTGGAAGGGGCCATATCGCGTGCAAGAGGTAGTTGGGCCGGGCACATTTAAGCTGGAGCATCTATCGGGAAAAAAGGTAAAAAGGACTTGGAATGCCCAAAACTTACGAAGGTATGGATTTGTGGAGGCCAATGTGACAGGAGAAGATGGCGGGGTGCCGGAACAGGCACCTAGCAGTTGGTAGTTGCAAGGGAAAGCGTCAAGCCTTGGGGTGTTTTTTGGTAGGAGTAGGGAGAAGCGCCGAGATCGCCAGTAGTATTTTAAAGCGCCCTTATGCGTCCGTAACATTTATGTAAAGCGCCCTTCAGCGCCCGGTAATAGCGCCTCAAGGTTGTTTATGGTTTTTGAAATCGGAATATATATATACTTAGGTACTTGGTTGTCTCGCCTATAGCACCAATTCATTGTGCCCTCAACGCGCCCGGTATACATAATGCGCCTTCACACCAAATACTTGGACCCTTACTTGGGAATGATAAGTAATGCGCCCCATGTAAGCGCCCTGATTATCAAATCATTGTGCCCTCAACGCGCCCGGTATACATAATGCGCCCTTACATCAAATAATTGGATCCTTAGTAGGGAATGAAAGTAAACGCCCTGGTTATCGCGTCAATCACCACTTTGCAAAAATGAAGTAAAATGTGCAAGTAAGGCATCGACAAAATCAAGGCGCGGAGGATTATGAGAAGGTTGTAGGCGCCTGTCTTTTCGCCGGGAAACAACGTTTACAGAAAGTCCCAAAAAGCAAAAGTTCAACGCATAGAAAGATAGTCACAAAAACATGGAAAATATAAGTCTGGCAGCACATTTACATATGGGCGCCTATAATCTTGCCACAAAATAATCCTACTCTTCTCCCGATGACTCATCGCCAGACTCCGAGCTTGATCCCGAATCTTCTCCTTCGTCCACCGGGTCCTGAGGAGGCGCAGGAGCAGGATCCACGACGGGGCGCCCACTGGCCATGAAGTCGATGACGAAATTGGCCATCTCCTTGATATCCCAGTTGATAGTGGGATGGTCCGCCTCCAACTTCCTCTTCAAAATGAGGATGCTGTTGAGGGAGGCCTGGGCCTTAAGCGCCATGTCTGAGACGGGCGCCGCCGTCGTCGCTTTCTCTTGCTTAAGCGCCTCTTGTTCTCCCTGGTCAAAATCTTCTTCTCCTTCTCCAGCGCCTTCTTCTCTTCAGTAAGGAGGTCGATTTCGCTCCTTTGGGCGCCTGCTTCCTTGTCCAGATCATCTTTTTCCTTCACAAGCTTGGCCATCTCCTCATGATGCGCCCGTCTGACACTCTCGAGTTGGGCCTCGTGCTCTAATTTCAGTCTCTGCTTTTCATCGTCGATGGACTTTTGGACAAGAGAGATAGCCTTTGCAGCCTTGAGGTTGGCATCCTCGCACGCTTGCACCAGCTCCGCTTGGCGCCTCTGCGCGGTCGCTAAATCATCCCTCATTACACTAAGGGAATTGGCGGCCTCATTCTCTCCAACGCGCAGCGCCTTGCTTGCCAATGCGCAATTCTTGGAGAGTAGGAGCATCTTAAAAAAAAAAGTGGTTGTTGCAAGTTAATGATAGTTACGCGTATGCAAACTGATAAGAAAGGAGGCAAGGTGGGCGCATACCTAGGTAGCCATGCGTGCCACTTCTCACCACAAGTTTGCGCCCTGAACCTCACTAGGCGCCCTCAGCACCTCGGCCGCGTGAAAGGCAAAGCCGAGCGCTGAGCCTCTCTCCAAAGCAGATCTATCAGAGCAAGCAATGTTGACCCTATGCCTTGGTGGTTGGAGCCACTTCTCAACAAACTCGGGAACACGCTCCTCTGCGCTTGTGCGCTGCTTCTTACTCTGCGCCTGTGCATCTTCCTCAGCGTTCTTCCTCTTCAATTTTTGCACAAGAGGGACATCGTCGATATCCAACACCGCATTGTAGGGAATGTCAACGCTAGGGGCCCCATCTTCGGGTTGCACGACGGTAGGCGCAACCTCCTCCTCCACAAGAGAGACGATAAGCGCCTTCTGTGATTTGGTACGCCGAGGACTTGAACGCCCCTTTGATTTCTGCGCGGAAAGGGGCGCATCGGCCTTAACTCCGGAGGAGGAAGTCTTGTTCTTCCCTCTCTTCGACGTGCCTTTTTCGGGCATGAGGGCGCCTTGCCGCCGAAATCAGGCGCCTTGTAATCCAGACCCATGCCCTCAAGTTGGGTCCTCATCAGTGAGGCAATGGTGGTGAAGTCCACACCCGCGTAATAATATACACGGTTAAAGGAAGGCACGATAAGCATTCATCAAGTACAAAGGAAAATGGGCGCATGCAAAACTTTATCAACACATTGGCGCTACTAAGCGCCTACCTACCGTCGGCGTAGTACTCATGTAATACTGGGGTCCTAGCGGCTGTGGAACTTAAGTTCACTGGATGGAGAGATAGTAGGCGCGCGTGATCTTTCTCATCGGAGGGATAATTCCACGGCAACATTGAAATGCGTGGTAATACCAAGCTTCCAATCCCGGGTGAAGGATGCGCCACTCTCGTAAAACGATTCTGCTCGCGCCTTAATAAAAAAGTAGCCCCTATACCACTTGCGCCCCAACTTAGGGCAATCTTCTACAAAGTGTCCAGGGATGTCCAGGCGCCTCTGTAGGGACAAACAGTTGTCACTGCTTGTCATGGTGAAGAAGTACCGAAACAGCTTGAACGTAGGTGCAATGTTATTCTGCCGGCACTTCAGTTTGAAAAGGATGTGAAGTAAAAAGACAGAGGGCGATAGGCACCCCAAGGAACAGGCGCATGTAGTGAGGATCCCTTCTAAAATCGAATCCAAGGGGAAGCGGAGCCCAAATTTAAAATACTCCCTATATATACCGAGCCACCGTGGGCCAACTGCTCCTATCCTGGCAATTGAGGACGCAGGCAAATAAGACCAAGTGCGAGGCAGGTTGCACGAGGTAATCAGCCGATGCATCTCTGCTATCTTGATGGTGGACGAGTGTTTTGGCCCGGCTCGCCGAACAGATAGTTTGCTGGTGCTATCGGGCGCCTCCCCTTGTGGCCATGTCTCTTCCCAATCCACTATCTTGAACGACCCGTCTTTGGGGGCGCCCGAATCAGTAGATGATGGAGAAATCGCCAAGTCACTCGACACTGATGAGGTAGGCGCGGAGCCTAAAAGTGATCCAAGCGTCCTTAATCAATACTACGGACCTAAGACCTCTAGTGGGCGCCTAGCACAGGGTCAAAATGTATTTGGGAAATTTCAAACAGAGAGAAAAAGTGCATTACCCGGATTGGTGGTAGGGGGCGCTGGCACAGTGGTCGCAGGCGCAGTCGAGGCCGCTGTCGCCTTAGGCGCCTCGGAATCGGCAGGCGCGGAAGACGCCGGCGCAGATTTGGAGTTCTTAGGCGCCTCGGACTCGACAGGCGCAGAAGAAGAGGGGGTGGATTTGGTGTTTTTCGGCGCCTCCTTCCGAGATCGAGACGCCCGTTGGTCTTGGTTGCGAAGCGGGTCTGGAGACAGATGCTTCTCAAGCACGTCAAGCACGTTGGGCGCCGCGCTCCCAACTTTCTCACTGGTGGTGTCGGCCGCGCTGGTTTCCGATTGCGACATGGTTGATAAGGTGGGAGTGGGCGCACGAACAAGAGATAAGCAGGGCGCGCGGACGGGAGAGAGGGAGAGCGGTTAGAGAGAGAAGCTAGAGAGAGAAGGGAGTCTGGTGCGAATGAGGCAGGGAGAGGAGAAAGGATTGTATTTATAGTAGGGAAGGGAGAGGGAAAGTCCACCTCGAGATGTGTGCACGCCAAACGGGCAAATCCTCGCCCTCCGTTCAAAATTCGAATTTTGAAGATTCAAAATTTGAAATTTAAACGCACGCCGAGTGGGGGGCGAGACGTACGGTCATGAGCCTTGTTAAATTCAGGCAGGTGAAGAGTCACGAGTAGGTAGCTATGCGCCTCTCATCATGCAAATGGGCAAAAAGTCATACACAGGCGGTTATGCGCCTATCTTTATGCAAGCAGGCAAAAAGCCACAAACAGGCGCCCGGTTTAATAAAGGCAGGGGAAGGGTCACAAACAGGCACCCGTTTCACTTTTTTTTTTTTTATAAAAGCGAGTGAAAGTTCACAAGCATCAGTAGAGGCCAACAGACACATGGTGTGGGGGGCAAGGTAGCGGTAGACATTTACTAAAACCCTTGGTAAGGATGAACGGTGAACGGGTACCTAAACAGAGCCCCACGCGCTAAATAAGTTCTTTCATAGTTAGGCACTCACGTGTGAGTACCTAACTGGGGGGCAATTGTTGGGGAAATATAGATAAGCCCATCCAAGCCCAAAACCTGATGGGCTTGGAGCCCATTAGTGGCCCGTTGAGACATGACCTGGGAGGCACCAACGGTAAAGGGGCGCATGGCGACAAAATAGACTCATGGACAAGGAAGTACGGCGGAGGAGGGTCGGAAAAGCACCACGTAGGTTGATGGTCCCCCCATGCGCCCTGACACCGAAGTCGGACGACGCGCCACGTGTAGGCGCTCGGACGTTGGACCAGACCAGGCATTTAATGGTTGGCTGACGTAAGGCTTGGTGGCAGGAGTTGGTCGGAGCCTGGTCGAGGACCTCGAGTAGTATAAATAGCACTCGGTAGGTGGCATTTACTCAGGTCGGTTTCTCTCACTAAAGTTTTACTTCCTCACTTATCTCTCTAGAACTAGCACTAGCACTGACTTGATCGTTGGAGTGCTAACGAGTGGCACCAGCCCTCTAGGCGTTAGTTTTGCAGGGTCTGAGCGCCTGTGGTGCGGCGGTTAGGGTGCGCTTGGAAGAGTGAAGTATCTGGGCTTCAACATTTTCCTTTTCAATTAGAAAGGAAGGAGCCATATTTGCTCACGTAGTTATCAAAGTCTCAAACATCATTTATATTAAGATATATGATCAACAAACTAACTCATAAATCGCTAATCAAAATAGATCACTAATCACATTGTCAAACTAGCTCATAAACTCAAAATAACTTAACTCACAAATTGAACTCAACAATCTATCTAACCTAATGTAGTTAATGTAGAATTCATGTATTTGAAGAATTCATGTATATTGTAGGTTGAGTTGTGAAAACTTGTGTAATATTAGAATGCATTGTTTGGCTTGCATGAGTTCATGGTAGAACCCACATAATTTGGCATGAAATCTGTTAGAATGTGATATAAGATCCAGCAGAACCTCTCCCAACAACTCGAGTTATTGGGATCAACTGATTCTTGACATGGTATCAGAGTCTCGAACCAAAAGGTCATGTGTTCGAATCTCCACGACCCCCAATATTAACCGTTGTCTTTCAAGCACATGGTATGGTGGGCCTGTGCAAACTTCAAGCCCATGGGTTGGCTTTCGTTTGAGGGGCGTGTTAGAATGTGATATAAGATCCAGCAGAACCTCTCCCAATAACTCGAGTTATTGGGATCAACTGGTTCTTGACAAAATCTCAAACAAGAAAAACAGTAAAATCTCAAATATCAAGTAATATTAATTTCGTGGGTATTTCGTGGGTAGATTACATGCTTACCAAACAAACCCTTAACTAAAATTCAATTCGGTAATAAACAAAGGAGCGTGGAACGAGCTTTCCAAGCATTTTCACCCCTAGTTGCACCATTCATCAGCCAAGAACAAGAAACAAAAAGTTGCACCAGTGATTTTTTCACTTTACAGCAGAGGCAAGGGGTGTTCGACGAAAAGCTGGTCAGAAGGATCCAAAATGCGTCGATTCCGGTGTACGATTTAAAAGAGTAGGAAAATTGCACCCCACTTTTTGCTCGTTGTCAGTCATCTCTCGCCTTCCCAGATCAACCAAAAGTTCAAAGGGATCGAGGATCAAGAGAGAAAAACCTAATCGAGACTCTTAAAAAGGTCACTAAAAAGGCTACCACCCCCTTCTCCCTCGTAGATCGTACCCCGATGGTGATTGAAGAGGAAAACGAGACTATAATAATGGCAAACCAGGTTGCGAAGGTCAGAAGGACCAAGATCAGCTAGTCTCTCTCTCTCTCTCTGCTAGCTTTTAGTTACAGAGCCCAACAGCCTTGGGAAAAGAGACTCGAGCCACCAGCCCCGCCGCGATCTCCGTTTTCCCTTTTCCCTCGATCGGATTCCCGCCTAGTGAAGAAGCTAGCAGCCACTCGTTGACTCCTGTGTCTTCTCCTTGGGTTTAAATTCCATGGCGGCCACCAGAAACAACAGCAGCGTCAACCAAAACCCGGACAACAACGACGGCCGGCGAATGGAGAGAAAGAGGGTCGCACCGTCCGATCAAATGCTGCAGCAGAACCACCGTCGTTATCATCGCCGGACAGACGATGATGGCAGCAGGCAACAGCAGCAGCAGCAGGTCATGAATACGATTGCCATTAATAATAACGCATTTACACCCCACCCGTTTCATCTCAACCACTCCACCACAAATCCCACTCCACCACCACCAACATTTACTCCTGCAACCGCCGCCGCCGCTTCCTTCGCCAACTTGTTGACCGCAATGACCACCACCTCCACGTCAGCCTCAGCACCGCCACCAACTCAAATCACCAATCCCAACAGCAACAACAACTTTGCCTCACCACCGTCGGCGTCGGCGGCGGCGGTGTGCGGCTTCTCCGGCCTCCCTTTGTTCCCTCCGGATCAGAGGCAAGTTCCGGTGATCACGAGTAATATTCCTGCAACAGTTGGATCGAGTCCCGTCCTAATGGACGATGACGACTCCTCCGCCGCGGCGGCGGCATGGATCGATGGGATAATCAGAGACCTAATCCACAGCTCAGCAAACGTCTCAATCCCCCAGCTGATTCAAAATGTAAGAGAAATTATTTACCCTTGCAACCCTAATCTCGCCGCCTTGCTCGAGTACCGGCTCCGCAGCCTCCTCGACCCGGGCCCAAGCCCAATCCCGGCTCGCGGAGAGCCCGCCCTCCTACTTCCTTCCACCAGGCCGCCTCCTCCTCCGCCGCAGCCGCCGCAGCAACGAATCTACCACAATAACAGCTCCGCCTCCGCGGCGGCGGCTTCTGCAAAATTCAACGTTGTCACTTCCTCATCGGGATCCGAAATTCAAAATCAAGATGACGATAGATCTGGATCTGGCTCCGTTCCGGAACCGCAAGCGACGGAAGCTGCGGCGGCGGCGGCGGAGCAGGAGAAGCGGATGCGGCGGAGGAACGACGAGAAGGCGGAGAAGGAGCAGCGGAAGAGGGACGAGGAAGGGCTGCATCTCCTCACTCTGCTCCTCCAGTGTGCGGAGGCGATCTCGGCGGACAACCTGGAGGAGGCGAGCAGGATGCTGCTCGAGATCTCGGAGCTCTCCACGCCGTACGGCACCTCGGCGCAGCGCGTGGCGGCGTACTTCTCGGAGGCGATGTCGGCGAGGCTGGTGAGCTGCTGCCTCGGGATGTACGCCGCCGCGCTGCCGCCCGGCTCGGCGCCGCCGAGCCACTCCGCGAGGATGGGGACGGCGTTCCAGGTGTTCAACGGGATCAGCCCCTTCGTGAAATTCTCCCACTTCACCGCCAACCAGGCGATTCAGGAGGCGTTTGACGGGGAGGATAGGGTGCACATCATAGATCTGGATATTATGCAAGGGTTGCAGTGGCCCGGCCTGTTTCACATTCTGGCTTCGCGGCCCGGTGGGCCGCCGAAGTACGTCCGGCTGACTGGGCTTGGGACCTCGTTGGATTCGCTTCAGGCGACGGGGAGCCGGCTGTCGGATTTCGCACGGAAGCTCGGTCTGTCTTTTGAGTTCTTTCCGGTTGCGGATAAGGTCGGGAATGTGAGCCCGGAGAAGCTGAACGTGAGTAGGAGGGAGGCGGTGGCGGTACACTGGTTGCAGCACTCGCTCTACGACGTCACCGGCTCGGACCCCAATACGCTCTTGCTCTTGCAGAGGTAATTTAACTATCTTGATTTTGCCATTACATATTTCATTCATGTTGTTGCCATCATTAGCTAGAATTGAAGTTTAATGATGTTCCAATTATGAGAGAATTCTTGTATTCATTGGAAAAAATATATATTCTCTTCAATATATCCAAATTAAATAGGTACTCATCAAATTATCGGCTAAAATTAACATTTCGACGGTTAGCTAAAATATGCATGAGTTATACAAGTAAATAAACGAACACATACAGTCAGGTTACAAAATGTATTTGATGACAGATTTTTTTTTAAATCTTAATAGAACGACTGTAGGGTTAAAAGCTAAGGTCTGGCGGGAAGAATTCGTCTATATATTTAGTAGAATGAGAAACTTTTAGAATTACGGGTTAGAAAATTGAGGAGTTATAATTTTATCCGATCAATATTGCTATTTATTTCCGGGTATATAATGTTGATAAAAGTTCAATTTATTACGAATCTGGTCCTAGATTCTTAATCTACTCGTATTGAATAAGTACGTACATATATATAATTCCTTTTATTTTTTGGGGGCTTTTCCAAATGGGACCTCGTTGCTTTCCACCTCCCTCAGCCGTTGATTGCTATGAGATCTCGCTATAAAAAGTGCTGTATATACTTCCTCAAACGCTATATTTTGGTTCCCTTTAAGTATAGTGAAACTAATCTTTTCTGTTTGTGCATGTTGATTATCAACGTATCGTGTTAGTATACCACCTAAATTTGTATATTATTTATTTGTTTTAATTTGTGTTGTATGATCAATATGATTGATTGATTGGTACTCCCATAGGTTGGCGCCGAAAGTGGTGACGGTGGTGGAGCAAGACCTGAGCCACGCGGGCTCGTTCCTCGGCCGGTTCGTGGAAGCGATCCACTACTACTCCGCCCTATTCGACTCGCTGGGGGCGAGCTACGGTGAAGAGAGCGAGGAGAGGCACATGGTGGAGCAGCAGCTGCTCTCCAAGGAGATACGCAACGTTCTCGCCGTCGGAGGGCCGTCCCGCCGCGAAGCGGCCGTCGCGGCCGCCGGGGACGACGATCACGCGGCGGCGGTGGTGAAATTCCACAGCAGCTGGAGGGAGAAGCTGCAGGAGTCAGGTTTCACGGGCGTGTCTCTTGCAGGGAATGCAGCGACGCAAGCAACGCTGCTGCTTGGGATGTTCCCTTCGGATGGTTACACTTTGGTGGAGGACGGCGGCGCGCTGAAGCTTGGTTGGAAGGATCTTTGCTTGCTTACTGCTTCGGCATGGAAACCCCGGCCGCAGATGCCGCCGAGTTCGGCGTCTTCTTCGCCGGCGGCGTCCGGTTACCTCCACCTTCATCCTCATTCCTTGCTTACTGCGTAGATATAGCTACATGTTTCCATCTTGTTTTAACCATTTATATATTTGTCATGCTATGTATTTTTCGGTGCACTATTTCTATGAGAAGTTAAATTAATACTAGTTTGATGGCCTACGCTTTGCATTGGGTAAAATCTTAGATGAATTAGATTGTTAATTAGTAATTTTAGATGTTAACTATTACATGCATAAGGTGAAGAAAAAGAAGATAAACCATGCATAGTTCTTTCTTGCATGCTCCTAAAAACTGATCGCAAACCAGAAAAATCGGTTCATGCAATAATTTATTTTTGCCCTGGAAGTCTTGTTATCTAGAGTCTAGCCACACTATTAGTGTGGCCAAAACATTCCTTTTTTTTCTTTCTAATCCAGAGTTAAATAAGGGCCAGGGGTGACTATTGAATTAAAACGCAACAGAAATTAAATATCATAACAAATATATCGAATGACGAACTAGACGATTCGGAAAAATTATCGCTCCCAATATTCCGAGGGAGAAATATGAGACCCTACGTCTATATCGGAAGAGGATTTTATATGCAAGGTGAAAAACTTTCCCTCTGCCCCCAAGTACTTTACGATCATACAATTAACTTCTAAAATATTTCCATAAGCAATAACTCTCTACAGATGAACTCCTTATTATTACTTTTATATGCCCCTAAATATGTGGATCATAAATATTTTAGTTTAAATGTCCAAATTCATGTGTAAAAAGCCAAATGGAATTTAGGACAAAAAGATTAAAAATGAAAAGGCATTTGCCTACTTCATTTGCCATCGCTTCCAGTCACCTGTCGTCCATGTTTTTGGACAAAAATATCCACTGAACTTCCGCAATGAACATAAGATGAGGCCCTTAGACTAACTCCAACCCAAGGATGCAAATTTGGAGAAAGGGATGTTTTTCCACTTTTTCCTCTTCAACCCACGTAAAAATTGGCTTGCAAATTTGGAGAAGTGGGATTGGGAGTGGATAAATGGTAGCCAAATGGAAAAATGCAAGGAGAAGGTGGGGACCATGCGGCAGCCAAAGCCCACATGCAGGGGCACGGTGGGGCCCTCCACTTTCCAACAGTTTTTTTTTTTACTTTCTTACTTTTTGGTTGGTTGGTTATGAGTTGGGAAGGCAAATTTGGAAGGTTTAGGGTTGGAGAAAAAAAGTGTTTTTGGGAGGTAAAAATGCACATTTGAGAGTTTGAAAGGCTTAAAAATGCACATTTCGGTTGGAGTTAGTCTAGAAAGCGAAGATAGTGGACCCTGAGGGTTGAGATTGGGCCATTGGAAGAGAATGAAGTTGGTCATTTGCTGACATGTGAAAGACGCCCTCCTCTTCCCTTTGGATCAGTTGAAACAGGCCCAGTATGGGAAGGGTTTTATCCACAAGGCTGCCCCCATTAGAAGACATAGGGAAAGGCTCTCTCCCCCATTTGACCCATCGAATAAGCTTGGTTCCCAAAGTTATTAGATAGGGTGACAGCATCCATTGCGTTGTTAGCACGACAACACTAGTATCCAATCAATAGAAAGTAGAATTGTGATTATCTTTTATTAGTGAAGTTGATTTAGTGTAAAATCAATGAAATGATATAATAGTCATTGTGAATATTATGTTTTAACAATCAATAAAAAAAATTAATGGTAGAAACATAAAATATTTTTTTTTGTCCAATTTTTGGTCGCCAGAATCCTCCCATCATTGTCGAAATATGCTCAACGTAGCCGGAATCCAATCACCATGGTCGGAATATGCTTACCGGCTTCGGAATCTAGTCATCGAGGCCGGAATATACTTATCGGTTAGTCGGAGTTTGGTCAACGATCTTTGATGACCGATTAACGGTCAACGATCACAGGGTATAGTGGTCTCCATTGTGAGATTTATGGTTTGCTTTCTCATGTTTTTTGTATGCCTTTTGTGGTATGATTTATCGTGTTTGTGGTATGCTCTAAGAAGTTTCTGGTGTGCTTTCGAAAAAAATTGTAGTTTACTTTGTGGAGTTTCTGGTATGTTTTCATATATTTGTGGTCTACATTACGAGGCTTCGGGTTTGTGAGTTTTGCTTTACCGTGTTTGTGGTTTGCATTTAGAGGTTTCTAGTGTGCTTATGAAATATTTTGTGGTATGCATTGTGGGGATTGTGGTATGTTTTAGGGGATTCGTGGTTTACATTATGAGGTTTTTGGTATGCTTTTTTTGGTTTGCTTTACCATGTTTGTGGTCTGCATTAAGAGATTTTTTGGTGTGTTTATGAGATATTTGTGGTATGCTTTGTGGGGTTTGTGATATATTTAGGCAATTTGTGGTATGCATTAGGAGGTTTATGGTATTCTTTGTGGTTTGCTTGACCGTGTTTGTGGTCTTCATTAGAAAATTTCTGGTATGTTTTGTGTGGTTTATGGTCTACTTGAGGAATTTGTTATATGAATTAAGTAAATTTTGAGATTAGAAAGAAATTTGAATGCAATGTCCTAAAGATTAAGATCACATCTCCTTGAAGTTATCCTTGTCACCTCGGTGATTGTTTTTTGCATGCTTGGACTTCTTGATTTTCTTCCCCATGGCTTCGCATTCTTTTTGTCATTCTCATCATCATCCATTTCAACATCTGCCTACAAAACCACTAGGGGACTCGCATGGAAAGTTCTGATGTAATCCATTCGAAAGGGAGAAAAAAACGGGCGTTGTCACCATATTTAGTCCCAAAACGAACAAAGCACCGTCAAGCAAGCTGTCTGACTCCAGTCTTTTGATAATGTAACAAACAAGAGAGATAGAGACACTCGCGAGAGCTCATTTATCTGCTTCTATCAAAGGCAATCTCTCCCTCTACTTCTACCTTACTCGGTCAGTCCCAGTTCAACAACCAACGTCTTCCAAATTCCATTCCCTCCTCTTCCATTGCTGCTGTATCAAGAAAAGATCGATCAAAATCCCATAATGGATTCGCCATTACCACCCAAGAATCAACAACTAGTCCACCTCGTCTTGATCCCATTCATGGCGCAGGGGCCACATGATCCCAATTGTCGACATCACCAAGCCTCCTAGCATCCCGCCCCAGCGTGCACATTAGGATTGTCACCATGTTGATCAACGCCGCCCGGTTCAGACCCTCAATCGACAAGGCAGTCAACGAATCACACCTCCCAATCACCATAATCAACCTCTGCGTCCCCAGCTCTGAAGTAGGGATCCTGAACACTCTGAGAACTCTGACATGTTTCCGTTGCACAAGCCGAGACGGTTTCACTCTTGCTGTCTGGCCCCTGCGCGCTTCTACCTCCGCAAATGCAATGTTAGACTCCCACAGTGGCGTTGTCGTGGCTGTTCCTTAGATAGAGCTGGACGATTCTGCTTCTTCTTACGAAAGAAGATTCTTTCCTTTAGTCGGTGTCGTTGTCCAGGTTTGATCATATTAGGAAACTAGGAACGACACCACCACTAGGGATGTAACGTCGGTTGTGGTAAACCCGATTTGTTGGTCAGGTTACCTAAGGCCTTAGGTGACTTGAAACATAAGGAAAACTAACCTAAGGCAACCTAAGAACCAACAACAAAACCTAAACCTACATACCCTTAAACCTATCCAAAGATGTATAAAATTTGTCAAGATTTGTCGAGTCAAATCGAGATCTCTTGGGTTGTCTCGAATAAGATTAGAAAGAGTAAGTGTTTGTGATAAAGGTAGAGAGAGTAATGATTTAGTTAACTCATTTTACTTAATCCAACAGTTAAAACTTACATGATTGAACGTATTTGACTAAGTTTGACAATATCCAATTTGAATTTAAACTGGCACGATAACCCTGTAAGATGGGAAGTTGTATTTAAACCCGATTTGATATGTCGATTTCATCTCAGTTTAACGATTCTGTGGACAAATCAACACTCTAATGGGAGACATGAATTATCTATATGTTTTTGCCACAGGTTGGGCTTTGAGTTTACCCATTATACTCGAGGTTGCTCGACCCATGATGATTTTTAGTGGGGCAACAATATTATTTATAATTTTCATAATTAATGACTATTTGGGCACTACTATCTTAATAATTATTTTATCTTACAATAAATTTATTAATATTAATGAATATTATTTAAAGATTTTTTATTTAATATTTAATATTTATTTGTGTGCGTTAGTATTTTGTGATAATCTTTTATAATTTAATAAACTATTGTATAATAATATAATTTACTCAATTTTCACTTTATTTCCATCCCTTACTTTTTTATTTCTAACAATAATTCCGCCCTCTACTTATACCTTAGGTCACCCAATCCGTGGTTTAAGGTCCCACGATCCCGCTCTCAAGCGGCAAAACGCGTTTTTTCCGGAATTCGACAAAAAATCGCGATTTATTTATTTTGGGAGCGCGATTTTAATTGAGGAGAGCGCGATTCCATCAAGTACTGGTCTATTGGAGATGGAGGCAACGAGACCCAAACCCAGAACGTTCATCGCTGGCCGGAGACCGTATTTCTTCTTCATTCCCTCGATCGAGACCAACACTAAAAAATAAAAAGAGTCAGAATCCTAAAATTTATCGAAATTAGAATCTAATCAAAAAGATGAGGATGCATGTCTCAGAAAAGCCTCCTTGATTCGCGATTCTCTTGCTACTATCGCCGTAAACGAGAGGCGAGGAGGCAGATTCGGAGCCTCCTTATCTTCGTTCTAGGTAGATGGGAAGTGAGTCGGGGGTTGGCAGATGAAGAAGGCGAAAGAGGAGATTGGAAAGGTTTGGTGTCCTTCATTTCTTTATGTTTTCATGTTTTGCTTGATTCTGGAATAAACGAAGATGAAGGAAGAAAGTTGAAGTTGAGATAGATTAGGGTTATGCTTTGAGTTCCTTAAATCAGATTATATAGAAGGTTTTCAATGACTATTTTGCCCTCATATATCTTTAAAACCTCACCTTGTGCCACCTTCCTCTAAAAAAAGAGAAATGTTAAAAGTTAAAACGTAGTGGTATGGTGCCACTTGTTGACTTGAACCAAAGCTCTTCAATGACATGCTTTATCCTAAGAATATTGGTATTTTTTTTATTTAAATACATATAAAAATATTTATTAATACTATAATATTGACGATTTGTTCACGCTCTGAATTTTAAGTTCTTTGAAAACTGACGCTCTGACGTTCCCGCTCTCGCTCCCGCTCTCGCTCCACGCTCTGGTTACCTAACTTATACCCCTCCAATTTACACTCCCTACACTTTCCACCTCAACTTGAAACATAGTATTCATGTTCACTTGAAATTTTTTTTATATTCGTTATTGACTTTAAATCTGTATTTAATTGATGGTTAATAGTCGTTCAATTCTATTAACTAAATCTTAGATGGAAGTCAATAATGATGTTTGACTGTGACTTAAGTAACTGATATGTCAATTAAAAAGTTAATAATAATTAAATATAAATATTTTAAATTTCCACCACATCACTCCAATCCCCAACCACAACCAGTCCCTCTGTCCTTCAGATGAAGTTTCCCATTGGTTGTCAGAGTGATCACAACTATAAGGTTGTCGCCATTACTTATTCTCAAACTTTGATTATATATTGTTTTGACATCGATTACAAACTGTAGTGATGAACTAGCCTCTTGTCAGTGTCACGGACAATCATATGAAGCGAATAAATAACCATATAAGGTTGTCATACCGGTTTATACCATTGCACCGATTTAGCAAGTAGAATGGTTCTACCGGTGGTACAACCGGTTTGTGCCGGTTCATGCCGATTAATAAAATATGTTGAAATGTCAAAAAATATTAATATAAAATGAATTTAATCATATATAAATCATATTTGAAGATAATTTACGTACAATTCATATTGATATTTAAATAAAATGTAATCAAATAAAATTACTTGAACTCGTATTCAAATTCACTAAAACAACTTCATTTTAATTAGAAATTCGTAAATTGATCATCCCAATCATACTGGTGATATCATGTTGGTTTCATAACCGACATCGGTTAAACCAAATTCAACCGGTGGCCAGTGGCGGAACCAGGGGGTGGCCACCCCGGGCCCCGGCCCAGCCCTCCTCTGGATCCATAGTTAGTATAGGCCTTATGAATTTTTCGATTTTAGATATTTGTATCGTTGTTATTTTAAAATAAGATTGGGTATAATTAGAAAAATAATTCAGATGAACATATTCAAAATCACTACTCTAAATCTAGCTTATAAATTCTAACCCCAAAGGTTATTCGTCTAAAAAAACAATGAAACCTAAAAATTCAAAAGTTTAAAACGTAAAAGAATAAAACATATATGAGGTTTGTTATCTTGGAAAATTTACTAGAGCAGCTGGTGGATATAGGGATGGAAACACAATGCAAATTGATTAGTAGATTGATTTGTCTAGTGTTAATGCTGCTCGTTTCAACAGCTAATACGAATAGAACCTTTTCAACAACAAAACATGTGAAAATTGATTTGCGCAACAAAATGAGCGATGGATTTCTAGTCGATTGCTCAAGTATTTTATTTGAAACAGTGTATACTATTGGTATGGATGTGGACTCCATTATTAATGCATTCGCTAAATTAAAATACCGTCGTGTACAATTTACATTGTAAAAAAAATTATAATCATTATATTTTTTTAATATTCTAATTTTCTAATAAAATGCGGTCCAGTGTACTTCTGTGTTCTGGATCCGCCGCTGCCGGTGGCATACGTGCCGACGTGACAACCATTCTACAGATCATTTCCATCGGCAGGTATCGTGCGACTTTCTTTACAAGGCCCACCCAATTACTAAAAACAAGAAACGCTACCAGGCCATGCATGGCAAAAGCTCATGCATGTCCAAGTGCATGCATATTTAAATCATGATGCATATTGGCCGCAACTGTTGGTTGCATTGCATGCCCACATCGGGTGGTGAACTGGTGATTCAAGACGGTTATTTCGGGATTTCAAGTGATGTATTTAACTAAATACATTGATGTCAAGATTAAATATGTCTAACTATAATCACTTAAAATGAGTGATTATCAATCTCTATCAAAAGGTAAAATTGTTAACAAAGAATTGTCTACCAAACTTTTTTTTTATAACAAACACGCAATTTAAATCTCCAAACAAAGTATTTTCCAAATTTATATATTTAATCAATGTATCAAATCACAAAACACAATTGTTTAAATATATCTATTTGGAGAATCTATACCTCCAACAACCCCTGAGATTAGTAAATTGTTTTTCTGTTTTTCACTCAAGGATTTTTTCCCTTTATAATTCATTGATGAATTTAAATTTCTTTTATATGATATTTACCGTTAAATAGCCGTAGTGTCAATTAAAAATTAGGGTGTGCCTACGGTGACATGCATGTCACGGTGACTTGCACTTTTCGGTCGACTTCATTTAGAATTCGATCGACCTCATATAGGATCTGGTCGACCTCATTTAGGATTCGGTCGACCTAATATGTTGTTTCAGTGTAAAAACAGTTCTTGGTGCCTACTTTGGATATTCATATCATACAATTGGCTAGATGGAAATTGAAGACTAATGACTTGTTTTGAAGCTGGAGTGTCCCTCTACATATTGAAGTGATTGAGAGCTCGATAGGAAGTCTAGAAGACCATTTTTGAACCTCATCAAAAGGCTATGCCAAAACTGGGAAACTACCTGGAAATGGCCAAGTCTGGAAACGTGTTTGTGAAGCCTATTTTGGAGCTCAATTCGAGAAGCATGAATGCGAGTCGAGTCCAGGAGCCTCTACCACATTAAATTAGGTATGTTTTTATACAAATTCAAGGCATTGGATGAAAGATTGGATATATGTAAGGCTTCAAACAAAAGGGTCAAAGTTGCTACAAATGCTGTTTTTCTGGCAGACTTCGAGCACAAGCAAGCTGCCAGAAAAACAGCATTCGTAGCAACTTCGAGCCTTTTGTTTGAAGTCTTAAAAATATTCAATCTTTCATCCAATGCCTTGCCTTTGTATAAAAAAACACGTAATTTAACGTGGCAGAGGCCCCTAGACTTGACTCGCATCCATGCTTCTCAAATTGAGCTCCAAAGTAGGCTTAACAAACACGTTGCCAGACTTTTGGTCAGTTTCCCAGTTTTGGCATAGCCTTTTGGTCAGGTTCAAAAATGGTCTTTTGGACATTCTATTGAGCTCCCAAGTACTTTAATGTGTAGAGTAACACTTCAGCTTCAAAACAAGTCTTTAATCTCCAATTTCCATCTAGCCAATTGTAAGATATGAATCTCCAAAGTAGACACCATGAAACTGTTTTTACACTGAAACAACAGATTAGGACATTAGGTCGACTTAATCCTAAATGAGATCGACCGAAAATTACATGTCACCGTAGCAAAGTCCTAAAAATTAATAAAAACGAAATATAATTATCTTAAATATCCACTCCATCACTACCGCCCCACCATTGGCAATATCTCGCAATAACCGTATCCTTCGAGTCTCGTTATAAGAACCATATCGTTCCTTCACCATCCAAAAACCCTTACAACTCCTGCTCAGCCTCCTCATCCTAAAAGCACTCCCTCAGGCTACAAAAGTGGGATCAGAGCTTTCTGTAATCGAGAGGTCTTGTGTTCGATTCCCTGATGACCCCATTTGCTAAGCACATGGTATTCAAACCTGTACTAACTTCAATAATCGGACTAATGGCTGGTTGTTCATTGCTGGCTTGGATGGTGCGGAATATGGAGACGAACTTTGGATGCTAGTTGCCAAATAATTAGATGATTGGAAAAGAGTAATTTTAAGCCTTGATTCTTGTCACCCACCGATGGAAGATTACTAACAGGCGTAATTATTTTGTCAACGAAAGACCATTTTCTTAGAATTTTGAAGGCTACAGATCACAGATTCGACCTGAGGTTATTCTTCAACGATGATTAAGTACATTAAGCACCGAATTTGGTGGATTTATTCCGGGTCAATTTTTGGCAGATTCCAAAGGGGTACCATCACAGATTTGGGGCGATTTTACCGAAATGCCATTTTCTTTTGATTCTGGAGGCTACAGATCACGGAATCAGGATGAGGCTATTCACCATGGATGATAAGTCCATTGATCCTATTCTCCACGGATGATAAGTCCATTAAGCACCGATTTGGGCCAACTTATTTTGGGATTGCATTTTTGTAATTTTGTGGGCGTCGAAAGGCCATTTTCTTTGGATTTTGAAGGCTACAGATCACGGAATTAGGCCGAGGCTATTCTACACCAATAATCAAGTCTATTGATCCTATTCTCTAATCTCCACGGATGATAAGTCCATTAAGCACTGATTTGGGCAAATTTATTTTCGGATGGCATTTTCGTAATTTTGTGGGCGTCAAAAGACCATTTTCTTAGGATTTTGAAGGCTACAGATCACGGATTCTGTCTGAGGCTATTCTTCAACGAAGATTGAGTCCATTAAGCACCGATTTGGGCGGATTTATTCTAGGTCAATTTTTGGCAGATTCCAAAGGTGTACCATCACAGATTTTGGACGATTTTTCCGAAATACAACTTTCTTTCGATTCTGGAGACTACAGATAACAGAATCAGGCCGAGGCTATTCTCCACCGATAATTAAGTCAATTGATCTTATTCTTCATGGATGATAAGTCCATTAAGCACCGATTTTGGGCAAATTTATTTTCAGATGGCATTTCCGTAAATTTTTTTGGCGACGAAAGGCCATTTTCTTAGGATTTTGAAGGCTACATATCACGGATTCGACCTGAGGCTATTCTTCAACGATGATTAAGTCCATTAAGCACCGATTTGGGCATATTTTTTTGGGTAAACTTTTGGCAGATTCCGAAGGTGTACCATCACAAAATTTGGACGATTTTTCCGAAATGCCTTTTTCTTTTGATTCTGGAGGCTACAGATCCCGGAATCAGGCCGATGCTATTCTCCACCGATAATGAAGTCTATTGATCCTATTCTCCACGGATGATAAGTCCATTAAGCACCGATTTGGGGCAATTTATTTTCGGATGACATTTTCGTAATTTTGTGGGCGTCGAAAGACCATTTTCATTGGGTTTTGAACGCTACATATCACAGATTCGGCATGAGGCTATTCTTCAACGATGATTAAGTCCATTAAGCACCGATTTGGGCGGATTGATTCCGGGTCAATTTTTGGCAGTTCAAAAGGGGTACCATCACAGATTTTGAGCGATTTTTCCGAAATGCCATTGTCTTTCGATTCTGGAGGCTACAGATCACGAAATCAGGCCAATGCTATCTCCACCGATAATGAAGTCTATTGATCCTATTCCCCGTGGATGATAAGTCCATTAAGCACCGATTTGGGCCAATTTATTTTGGAATGACATTTTAGTAATTTTGTGGGCGTCGAAAGACCTTTTTCTTTGCATTTTGAAGGTTACAGATCACAGATTCGGCCTGAGGCTATTCTTCAACGATGATTAAGTCCTTTAGGCACCGATTTGGGCGGATTTATTCCAGGTACATTTTTGTAGATTCCAAAGGGGTACCATCACAGATTTTAGGCAATTTTTCCGAAATGCCATTTTCTTTCAATTCTAGAGGCTACAGATCACGGAATCAGGCCGAGGCTATTCTCCACCGATAATGAAGTCTATTGATCCTATTCTCCACGGATGATAAATCCATTAAGCACCGATTTGGGCCACTTTAATTTCGGATGGCTTTATCGTAATTTTGTGGGCGTCGAAAGGCCATTTTCTTTGGATTTTGAAGGCTACAGATCGCGGATTCGGCCTGAGGCTATTCTTCAACGATGATTAAGTCCATTAAGCACCGATTTGGGCGGATTTATTCCTGGTCAAATTTGGCAGATTACAAAGGGGTACCATCACAGATTTTGGGCGATTTTTTTTAAATGCCATTTTCTTTCGATTCTGGAGGCTACAGATCACGTAATCAGGCCGAGGCTATTCTCCACCAATAATGAAGTCTATTGATCCTATTCTCCACAGATGATAAGTCCATAAGCACCGATTTGGGCCAACTTATTTTGGGATTGCATTTTTGCATTTTTGTGGGGGTCGAAAGGCCATTTTCTTTGGATTTTGAAGGCTACAGGTCACGGATACGGCCTGAGGCTATTATTCAACGATGATTAAGTTCATTAAGCACCGATTTGGGCGGAATTATTCCTGGTCAATTTTTGGCAGATTCCAAAGTGGTACCATCACAGCTTTCGGGCGATTTTTCCGAAATGCCATTTTCTTTCAATTCTGGAGGCTATAGATCACGGAATTAGGCCGAGGCTACTCTACACCAATAATGAAGTCTATTGATCCTATTCTCTAATCTCCACGGATGATATGTCCATTAAGCACTGATTTGGGCAAATTTATTTTCGGATGGCATTTTTGTAATTTTGTGGGCGTCAAAAGACCATTTTCTTAGGATTTTGAAGGCTACAGGTCACGGATTCGGCCTGAGGCTATTATTCAACGATGATTGAGTCCATTAACCACCGATTTGGGCGGATTTATTCTAGGTCAATTTTAGGCAGATTCCAAAGGTGTACCATCACAGATTTTGGGAGATTTTTTCGAAATGCCATTTTCTTTCGATTATGGAGACTACAGATAACGGAAGCAGGCCGAGGCTATTCTCCAACAATAATTAAGTCAGCAAACGAACTCGCCTTAGGGGCACAGCTTCATTAAGTCAATTGATCATATTCTCCATGGATGATAAGTCCATTAAGCATCGATTCTTGGACCAATTTATTCCGGGTCATTATTCTCCACCGATAATGAAGTCTATTGATCATATTCTCCACGGATGATAAGTCCGTTAAGCATCGATTTAAGCCAATTTATTTTCGGATGGCATTTTCGTAATTTCTTGGGCGACGAAAGGCCATTTTCTTTGGATATTGAAGGCTACAGATCACAGATTCGGCCTGAGGCTATTCTCTAACAATGATTGAGTCCATTAAGCACCGATTTGGGCAGATTTATTCCGGATCAATTTTTGGCAGATTCCAAAGGGGTACCATCACAGATTTCGGGTGATTTATCCGAAATGCCATTTTCTTTCGATTCTGGAGGCTACAGATCACGGAATCAGGTCGAGGCTATTCTCCACTAATAATGAAATTTATTGATCCTATTCTAAACGGATGATAAGTCCATTAAGCATCGATTTGGGCCAATTTATTTTTGGATGGCATTTTCATAATTTCTTGGGCGACGAAAGGCCATTTTCTTTGGATATTGAAGGCTACAGATCACGGATTCGGCCTGAGGCTATTCTCCAATGATGATTGAGTCTATTAAGCACCGATTTGGGCAGATTTCTTCCGGGTCAATTTTTGGCAGATTCCAAAGGGGTACCATCACAAATTTCGGGCGATTTATCTGAAATGCCATTTTCTTTCAATTCTGGAGGCTACAGATCACGAAATCATGCCGAGGCTATTCTCCACCGATAATGAAGTCTATTGATCCTATTCTCCACGGATGATAAGTCCGTTAAGCATCGATTTGGGCCAATTTATTTTCGGATGGCATTTTCGTAATTTCTTGAGCGACGAAAGGCCATTTTCTTTGGATATTGAAGCCTACAGATCACGGATTTGGCTTGAGGCTATTCTCCAACGATGATTGAGTCCATTAAGCACCGATTTTGGGCGATTTTTCTGAAATGCCATTTTCTTTCGATTATGGAGACTACAGATAACGGAAGCAGGCCGAGGCTATTCTCCACCGATAATTAAGTCAGCAAACGAACTCGCCTTAGGGGCACAGCTTCATTAAATCAATTGATCATATTCTCCATGGATGATAAGTCCATTAAGCACCGATTTTTGGGCCAATTTATTCCGGGTCATTATTCTCCACCGATAGTGAAGTCTATTGATCATATTCTCCACGGATGATAAGTCTGTTAAGCATTGATTTAAGCCAATTTATTTTCGGATGGCATTTTCGTAATTTCTTGTGCGAAGAAAGGCCATTTTCATTGAATATTGAAGGATACAGATCACAGATTCGGCCTAAGGCTATTCTCTAACGATGATTGAGTCCAATAAGCATCGATTTGGGCAGATTTATTCCGGGTCAATTTTTGGCAGATTCCAAAGGGGTACCATCACAGATTTCGGGTGATTTATCCGAAATGCCATTTTCTTTCGATTCTCGAGGCAACAGATCACAGAATCAGGTCGAGGCTATTCTCCACTAATAATGAATTTTATTGATCCTATTCTAAACGGATGATAAGTCCGTTAAGCATCGATTTGGGCCAATTTATTTTCGGATTGCATTTTCGTAATTTCTTGGGCGACGAAAGGCCATTTTCTTTGGATATTGAAGGCTACAGATCACGGATTCGGCCTGAGGCTATTCTCCCATGATGATTGAGTCCATTAAGCACTGATTTGGGCGGATTTCTTCCAGGTCAATTTTTGGTAGATTCCAAAGGGGTACCATCACAAATTTCTGGCGATTTATCTGAAATGCAATTTTCTTTAAATTCTGGAGGCTACAGATCACGAAATCAGGCCGAGGCTATTCTCCACCGATAATGAAGTCTATTGATCCTATTCTCCACGGATGATAAGTCCGTTAAGCATCGATTTGGGCCAATTTATTTTCGGATGGCATTTTCGTAATTTATTGGGCGACGAAAGGTCATTTTCTTTGGATAGTGAAGGCTACAGATCACGGATTGGGCCTGAGGCTATTCTCAACCGATGATTGAGTCCATTAAGCACCGATTTGGACGGATTTATTCCGGGTCAATTTTTGGCAAATTCCAAAGGGGTACCATAACAGATTTCAGGCGATTTTTCCGAAATTCCATTTTTTCCCGATTCTGGAGGCTACAAGTCACGGAATCAGGCCGAGGCTATTCTCCACCGATAATGAAGTCTATTGATCCTATTCTCCACGAATGATAAGTCCGTTAAGCACCGATTTGGGCAAATTTATTTTCGGATGGCATTTTCGTAATTTCTTGGGGGACGAAAGGCCATTTTCGTTGGATATTGGAGGCTACAGCCTACAGATCACGGATTCGACCTAAGGCTATTCTCTAACGATGATTGAGTCCATTAAACACCGATTTGGGCGGATTTCTTCCGGGTCAATTTTTGGCAGATTCCAAAGGGGTACCATCACAGATTTCGGCCGATTTATCCGAAATGCCATTTTCTTTCGATTCTGGAGGCTACAGGTCACGGAATCAGGCCGAGGCTATTCTCCACTGATAATGAAGTCCATTGATCCTATTCTACACTTATTATAAGTCCGTTAAGCATCGACTGAGGCCAATTTATTTTCGGATGGCATTTTCGTAATTTCTTAGGCTACGAAAGGCCATTTTCTTTGGATATTGAAGGCTACAGATCACGCATTCGGCATGAGGCTATTCCCCAACTATGATTGAATCCATTAAGCACCGATTTGGGCGGATTTAATCTGAGTCAATTTTTGGCAGATTCCAAAGGGGTACCATCACAGATTTCGGGCGATTTAACCGAAATGCCATTTTCTTTCGATTCTAGAGGCTACAGATCACGGAATCAGGCCGAGGCTATTCTCCTCCGATAATGAAGTCTATTGATCCTATTCTCCACGGATGATAAGTCCGTTAAGCATCGATTTGGGCAAATTTATTTTCGGATGACATTTTCGTAATTTCTTGGGTGACGAAAGGCCATTTTCGTTGGATATTGGAGGCTACAGATCACGGATTCGACCTAAAGCTATTCTCTAACGATGATTGAGTCTAGTAAACACCGATTTGGGCGGATTTCTTCTGGGTCAATTTTTGGCAGATTCAAAGGGGTACCATCACAGATTCGGGCGATTTATCCGAAATGCCATTTTCTTTCGATTCGGGAGGCTATAGATCACGGAATTAGGCCGAGGCTATTCTCCACCGATAATGAAGTCTATTGATCCCATTCTCCACGGATGATAAGTACGTTAAGCATCGATTTGGGCCAATTTATTTTCGGATGTCATTTTCGTAATTTCTTGGGGGACGAAAGGCCATTTTCGTTGGATATTGGAGGCTACAGATCACGGATTCGACCTAAGGCTATTCTCTAACGATGATTGAGTCCATTAAACACCGATTTGGGCGGATTTCTTCCGGGTCAATTTTTGGCAGATTCCAAAGGGGTACCATCACAGATTCGGGCGATTTATCCGAAATGCCATTTTCTTTCGATTCGGGAGGCTACAGATCACAGAATCAGGCCGATGCTATTCTCCACTGATAATGAAGTCTATTGATCCTATTCTCCACGGAAGATAAGTCCGTTAAGCATCGATTTCGGCCAATTTATTTTCGGATGGCATTTTCGTAATTTCTTGGGCGACGAAAGACCAATTTCTTTGGATATTGAAGGCTACAAATCACGGATTCGGCCTGAGGCAATTCTACAACGAAGATTGAGTCCATTTTGCACCGATTTGTGCAGATTTCTTCCGGTTCAATTTTTGACAGATTCCAAAGGGGTACCATCACTGATTTTGGGTAATTTATCCTAAATGCCATTTTCTTTGAATTCCGCAGGCTAGAGATCAAGGAATCAGGCCGAGGCTATTCTCCACCGATAATGAAGTATATTGATCCTATTCAACACTTATTATAAGTCCGTTAAGCATCGACTTGGGCCAATTTATTTCCGGATGGCATTTTCGTAATTTCTTAGGCGACGAAAGGCCATTTTCTTTGGATATTGAAGGCTACAGATCACGTATTTGGCATGAGGCTATTCCCAAACTATGATTGAATCCATTAAGCACCGATTTGGGCGGATTTAATCCGGTTCAATTTTGGGCAGATTCCAAAGGGGTACCATCACAGATTTCGGGCAATTTAACCGAAATGCCATTTTCTTTCGATTCTGGATGCTACAGATCACGGAATCAGGCTGAGGCTATTTTCCACCAATAATGAAGTCAATTGATCCTATTCTCCACGGATGATAAGTCCGTTAAGCATCGATTTGGGCAAATTTATTTTCGGATGGCTTTTTCGTAATTTCTTGGGGGACGAAAGGCCATTTTCGTTGGATATTGGAGGCTACAGATCACAGATTCGACCTAAGGCTATGCTCTAACGATGATTGAGTCCATTAAACACCGATTTGGGCGGATTTCTTCCGGGTCAATTTTTGGCAGATTCCAAAGGGGTACCATCACAGATTTCGGGCGATTTAACCCAAATGCCATTTTCTTTCGATTCTGGATGCTACAGATCACGGAATCAGGCCGAGGCTATTCTCCACCAATAATGAAGTCTATTGATCCTATTCTCCACGGATGATAAGTCCGTTAAGCATCGATTTGGGCAAATTAATTTTTGGATGGCATTTTCGTAATTTCTTGGGGGACGAAAGGCCATTTTCGTTGGATATTGGAGGCTACAGATCACGGATTCGACCTAAGGCTATGGTCTAACGATGATTGAGTCCATTAAACACCGATTTGGGCGGATTTCTTCCGGGTCAATTTTTGGCAGGTTCCAAAGGGGTACAATCACAGATTCGGGCGATTTATCCGAAATGCCATTTTCTTTCGATTCGGGAGGCTACAGATCACGGAATAAGGCCGAGGCTATTCTCCACCGATAATGAAGTCTATTGATCATATTCTCCACGGATGATAAGTAAGTTAAGCATCGATTTGGGCCAATTTATTTTCGGATGGCATTTTCGTAATTTCTTGGGCGATGAAAGGCCATTTTCTTTGGATATTGAAGGCTACAGATCACGGATTCGGCCTGAGGCTATTCTCCAACGATGATTGAGTCCATTAAGCACCGATTTGGGCGGATTTTTTCCAGGTTAATCTTTGGCAGATTCGAAAGGGGTACCATCACAGATTTCGGGCGATTTGTCTGAAATGGCATTTTCTTTCGATTCTGGAGGCTACAGATCACGAAATCAGTTTGAGGCTATTCTCCACTGATAATGAAGTCTATTGATCCTATTATCCACGGATGATAAGTCCGTTAAGCATCGATTTGGGCCAATTTATTTTCGGATGGCATTTTCGTAATTTCTTGGGCGACGAAAGGCCATTTTCTTTGGATACTGAAGGCTACAGATCACGGATTCGGCTTGAGGCTATTCCAGAACTATGATTGAAGCCATTAAGCACCGATTTGGGCGGATTTAATCCGGGTCAATTTTGGGCAGATTCCAAAGGGGTACCATCACAGATTTCGGGCGATTTAACCGAAATGCCATTTTCTTTCGATTCTGGATGCTACAGATCACGAAATCAGGCCGAGGCTATTCTCCACCAATAATAAAGTCTATTGATCCTATTCTCCACGGATGATAAGTCCGTTAAGCATCGATTTGGGCAAATTTATTTTCGGATGACATTTTCGTAATTTCTTGGGGGACGAAAGGCCATTTTCGTTGGATATTGGAGGCTACAGATCACGGATTCGACCTAAGGCTATGCTCTAACGATGATTGAGTCCATTTGGCACCGATTTGTGCGGATTTCTTCCGGGTCAATTTTTGGCAGATTCCAAAGGGGTACCATCACAGATTTCAGACGATTTATCCGAAATCCTATTTTCTTTCGATTCGGGAGGCTACAGATCACGGAATCAGGCCGAGGCTATTATCCACCGATAATGAAGTCTATTGAACCTATTCTCCACAGATGATAAGTCCGTTAAGCATCGATTTGGGCCAATTTATTTTCGGATGGCATTTTCGTAATTTCTTGGGCGATGAAAAGACATTTTCTTTGGATATTTAAGGCTACAGATCACGGATTCGGTCTGAGGCTATTCTCCAACGATGATTGAGTCCATTAAACACCGATTTGGGCGGATTTATTCCGGGTCAATTTTTGGCAGATTCCAAAGGGGTAGCATCACATATTTAGGGCGATTTAACCGAAATGCCATTTTCTTTCGATTCTGGAGGCTACAGATCACGGAATAAGGCCAAGGCTATTCTCCACCGATAATGAAGTCTATTGATCCTATTCTCCACGGATGATAAGTGCGTTAAGCATCGATTTGGGGCAATTTATTTTCTGATGGCATTTTCGTAATTTCTTGGGCGACGAATGGCGATTTTCTTTGGATATTGAAGGCTACAGATCACGGATTCAGCCTAAGGCTATTCTCTAACGATGATTGAGTCCATTAAGCACCGATTTGGGCGGATTTCTTCCGGGTCAATTTTTGGCATATTCCAAAGGGGTACCATCACAGATTTCAGGCGATTTATCTGGAAAGCCATTTTCTTTCGATTCTGGAGGCTACAGATCACGGAATCAGGCCGAGGCTATTCTCCACCGATAATGAAGTCTATTAATCCTATTCTCCACGGATGATAAGTCCGTTAAGCATCGATTTGGGCCAATTTATTTTCAGATGGCATTTTCATAATTTCTTGGGCTACGAATGGCCGTTTTCTTTGGATATTGAAGGCTACAGATCACGGATTCGGCCTAAGGCTATTCTCTAACGATGATTGAGTCCATTAAGCACCGATTTGGGCGGATTTCTTTCGAGTCAATTTTTGGCAGATTCCAAAGGGGTACCATCACAGATTTCGGGCGATTTATCTGAAATGCCATTTTCTTTCGATTCTAGATGCAACAGATCACGGAATCAGGTCGAGGCTATTCTCCCCTGATAATGAAGTCTATTGATCCTATTCTCCACGGATGATAAGTCCGTTAAGCATCGATTTGGGCAAATTTATTTTCGGATGACATTTTCGTAATTTCTTGGGGGACGAAAGGCCATTTTCGTTGGATATTGGAGGCTACAGATCACGGATTCAACCTAAGGCTCTGCTCTAACGATGATTGAGTCCATTTAGCACCGATTTGTGCGGATTTCTTCCGGGTCAATTTTTGGCAGATTCCAAAGGGGTACCATCACAGATTTCGGACGATTTATCCGAAATCCCATTTTCTTTCGATTCGGGAGGCTACAGATCACGGAATCAGGACGAGGCTATTCTCCACCGATAATGAAGTCTATTGACCCTATTCTCCATAGATGTTAAGTCCGTTAAGCATCGATTTGGCCCAATTTATTTTCGGATGACATTTTCGTAATTTCTTGGGCGATGAAAAGCCATTTTCTTTGGATATTGAAGGCTATAGATCACGGATTCGGTCTGAGGCTATTCTCCAACGATGATTGAGTCCATTAAGCACCGATTTGGGTGGATTTAATCCGGGTTAATTTTTGGCAGATTCCAAAGGGGTACCATCACAGATTTCGGGCGATTTATCTGAAATGCCATTTTCTTTCGATTCTAGATGCAACAGATCACGGAATCAGGTCGAGGCTATTCTCCCCTGATAATGAAGTCTATTGATCCTATTCTCCACGGATGATAAGTCCGTTAAGCATCGATTTGGGCAAATTTATTTTCGGATGACATTTTCGTAATTTCTTGGGGGACGAAAGGCCATTTTCGTTGGATATTGGAGGCTACAGATCACGGATTCAACCTAAGGCTCTGCTCTAACGATGATTGAGTCCATTTAGCACCGATTTGTGCGGATTTCTTCCGGGTCAATTTTTGGCAGATTCCAAAGGGGTACCATCACAGATTTCGGACGATTTCTCCGAAATCCCATTTTCTTTCGATTCGGGAGGCTACAGATCACGGAATCAGGCCGAGGCTATTCTCCACCGATAATGAAGTCTATTGACCCTATTCTCCATAGATGTTAAGTCCGTTAAGCATCGATTTGGCCCAATTTATTTTCGGATGACATTTTCGTAATTTCTTGGGCGATGAAAAGCCATTTTCTTTGGATATTGAAGGCTATAGATCACGGATTCGGTCTGAGGCTATTCTCCAACGATGATTGAGTCCATTAAGCACCGATTTGGGTGGATTTAATCCGGGTTAATTTTTGGCAGATTCCAAAGGGGTACCATCACAGATTTCGGGCGATTTATCTGAAATGCCATTTTCTTTCGATTCTAGATGCAACAGATCACGGAATCAGGTCGAGGCTATTCTCCCCTGATAATAAAGTCTATTGATCCTATTCTCCAAGGATGATAAGTGCGTTAAGCCTCGATTTGGGCCAAATTTTTTTCGAATAACATTTTCGTAATTTCTTGGGCGACGAAAGGCCATTTTCTTTGGATATTGAAGGCTACAGATCACGGATTCGGCCTGAGGCTATTCTCTAACAATGATTGAGTCCATTAAGCACCGATTAGGGCGGATTTATTCCGGGTCAATTTTTGGCAGATTCCAAAGGGGTACCATCACAGATTTCGGGCGATTTATCCGAAATGCCATTTTCTTTCGATTCTGTAGGCTACAGATCACGGAATCAGACCGTGGCTATTCTCCACCGATAATGAAGTCTATTGATCCTATTCTCCACGAATGATAAGTCCGTTATGCATCGATTTCGGCCAATTTATTTTTGGATGGCATTTTCGTAATTTCTTGGGCGACGAAAGGCCATTTTCATTGGATATTGAAGGCTACAGATCACGGATTCGGCCTGAGGCTATTCTCCAACGATTATTGAGTACATTAAGCACCGATTTGGGCGGATTTATTCCGGGTCAATTTTTGGCAGATTCCGATGCTACCCATCACAGATTTCGGGCGATTTATCGGATATGCCATTTTCTTTCGATTATAGAGGCTACAGATCACGGAATCCGGTCGAGGCTATTCTCCACTGATAATGAAGTCTATTGATCCTATTCTCCACGGATGATAAGTCCGTTAAGCATCGATTTGGGCCAAATTATTTTCGAATGACATTTTCGTAATTTCTTGGGCGACGAAATGCCATTTTCTTTGGATATTGAAGGCTACAGATCACGGATTCGGCCTATGGTTATTCTCTAACGATGATTGAGTCCATTAAGCTCCGATTTGGGCGGATTTCTTCCGGGTCAATTTTTGGCAGATTACAAAGTGGTACCATCACAAATTTCGGGCGATTTATCCAAAAAGCCATTTTCTTTCGATTCTGGAGACTACAGATCATGGAATCAAGCCGAGGCTATTCTCCACCGATAATGAAGTCTATTAATCCTATTCTCCACGGATGATAAGTCCGTTAAGCATCGATTTAGGCCAATTTATTTTCTGATGGCATTTTCGTAATTTCTTTGGCTACGAATTGCCATTTTCTTTGGATATTGAAGGCTGCAGATCACGGATTCGGCCTAAGGCTATTCTCTAATGATGATTGAGTCCATTAAGCACCGATTTGGGCGGATTTCTTCCGGGTCAATTTTTGGCATATTCCAAAGGGGTACCATCACAAATTTCGGGCGATTTATCCGAAATGCAATTTTCTTTCGATTCTGGAGGCTACAGATCACGGAATCAGGTCGAGACTATTCTCCACTGATAATGAAGTCTATTGATCCTATTCTCCGCGGATGATAAGTCCGTTAAGCATCGATTTGGGCCAAATTATTTTCGGATGACATTTTTCGTAATTTCTTGGGCGACGAAAGGCCATTTTCTTTGGATATTGAAGGCTACAGATCACGGATTCGGCCTGAGGCTATTCTCCAACGATGATTGATTCCATTAAGCACCGATTTGGGCGGATTTATTCTGGGTCAATTTTTGGCAGATTCCAAAGGTGTACCATCATAGATTTCATGCGATCTATCCGAAATGCCATTTTCTTCCGATTCTGGAGGCTACAGATCACGGAATCAGGCCGTGGCTATTCTTGACCGATAATGAAGTCTATTGATCCTATACTCCACAGATGATAAGTCCGTTAAGCATCGATTTGGGCCAATTTATTTTTGGATGGCATTTTCGTAATTTCTTGGGCGATGAAAAGCCATTTTCTTTGGATATTGAAGGCTACAGATCACGGATACGGTATGAGGCTATTCTCCAACGATGATTGAGTCCATTAAGCACCGATTTGGGATGATTTAATCCGGGTTAATTTTTGGCAGATTCCAAAGGGGTACCATCACAGATTTCGGG